AAATAAAATCAAATACCAATTTGGATTTAATGTTCAAACACATAAGAATTTTGTTCATGAAACAACTTCCAAAACTGGAGAGTAAAGTTCTTTAAAGTGCTATCTTAGAAAATATTTACAAATAATGTGGGCTATCATTAGGCAACATTAGAGAAACAAACTATTCTTAAGAAAAAGTGTCACCTGGGAAAGAAGTGAGGCTAAAGGGTATTTATGACATTTGAAGATGCTCAGAACCTAAGCATTGCCCACCTCAATCCGGAAAATTTAGAAATATTTTCCAAATGATAATATTAAAGGGAGAGAGGGAAAGAAAACAATAACAACAACACTGGCCCTTAATCATAAACATCTTGCTAGGCGTGACAACAGGATTTATTCTATTTCTACTCCAATTTCTTTTTAAAAAAATACAGTTTAACAGCTTTCTAGAAATTAATACTTTATAGTGAAATGGTTAAGAACATGGGCTCCAGAGCCAGTCTTCCCCAGTTCCACCTCCAGCTCTGCTACTTACTAAATGTATGACCTTGAACAAGTCACTGAACCTCTCTGTACCTCAGTTTCTCCTCCTAAGTGAAGAGAATAACAGAACCATCTCAGTAGTTTGTTGTAGTAAATGAGTCTCTCCATGTAAAGCCTTAGCACAGCGCTTGGAATTTGTGTCATATAATTGTTGTTGGTGGTGGTGGTGATGATAGAGCAATTCAAAAAACAATTATAACCAGAGCACAAATAACATGGTGAAACTTATGGTGACGCTGGGCTAAACAAACCAATGAAAATTCCAGTCTAGGTGAAAGCTAAACACTTTTGAGAATTTCACTTACATGCAATTTTTTCATCAGGCTTAGTGTTCCAGAAATTCACATTTCCACTGATCTGAGCTGGTCATAGGCACCCAGTATCGAATCAGACAAAAGAGCAAATCAATCTTTAAGGAGTTGCCTGAAAAGAGCTGACCTTAGGGCCTATTGATAAACTCTTCTGCACAGCATTATTCAAATCATGGTTAAGAGCACATTTAACAAAAACATAAGCCAAGAATATTAGAGACAAATTCTGTTAGCTAGAACATTGTGACCTATGGGTCCTCAGCAGTGGTCACTGATAATCACTCAGCCAAAAATTCAGCCACAAAATGTGAAAGGAGCACATGATGGCCCTATACTGTCTTGACCCCTAGTGCATGGACTGTCCTTGATCCTAGCGCATGGACTGTCCTCCTCTCCATTGGCACATCCTAGGCCTGCTTCTCCCAGCCCAGCACCCACCCCTCACACTATGTGGGGAAAGCACCAGCAGGGTCTAGTGAAGACCAACATCAGGGACTTATTTTGTCCTACTTTTAATTATATGAGCTGTGAAGGCTTTGGAGTGGTTCGAACAATTTTATCTGGTCCTGAAAACCCACTTAAGAATATATATCCAATTTTCATTCTACTTCCCTATCACCCCCTTATCTCTGACCTTCTTTTCTTTCCTCCAGGAACTGCTTATCATGCTTAAGTAAACAAAAATACATAGGGTTTTTTCACTAGTTGCAAAACTCCGGTGCTTAACAGCACACACTGCATTTCTGATCTAATCCCTACTTACATACACCAGGATGTTGCTGAGAGATTTAGGCCAAAGTTGATTTTCCTCCCTCTCTTCTGTCAATGCCCTGAGTGTCCTTGGCCTACACTGGACATACAATATCTGAAGCATAAATACCTTTTCTCAGCATTTCCCTTGGCTATATCTAAATCCTCACATGTGGAGAGAGTGGTTTTGTATATAATCACTGTTTATTTCCTTAGTACATTTTCTATCTCCTGCAAATGTGCTGCCAAATGTTTAAAAGCTTTCTACTTTGAAGCACAAGGCAATAGAAAAAGATGGGAGATATACAAAAAGTAAAAGAGAAATACTTCTTTTAAACAAAAGCTGAATGTGGTTTAACTCAAACTAAGTTTTTGAATACCAAAGCCAGTATGCAAAACTACACTGACAAAAACATTTAAAGCAAGTTAATGAATCAAAATGGCAAAGCAACAAACATGTACCTAGAAAAAGTATTCTGCAATGTGGTCTCCATCATACTAAAGTTGCAAATTATACATTAAAGCAGTTGTATTTTATACATTCTGCCTGACCCTTTATTTTATTTAATGCCAAAGAAGTATTCCATTATATCTTTTTTATTTAAAGAATATTTGAGAATAAAAAAAGAAAGATGGTGGAGTAAATACTGTGCTCACCTCCCATCATGACCACATCAAAATTACAACTAAACTACAGAACCATCATTGAGAATTGCCTCGAGTCTAGATGAACAGAAGTCCTATAACTAAGGATATGCAGAAGAAGCCACCTTGAGACTGGTAAGAAGAGCAGAGACGTGAAATAGGAGAGATATCTCAGTTGCAGAGGTCCTTCCTGAGGAGCGAGGGGTCTCAGCCCCACACCAGGCTCCCAAATCTAGGGTTCCAGTACTGGGAAGAGAAGTCCCTGTAATTTCTGGTTGTGAAAACCAGCAGAGATTGTGGCTAAGTGAGATGAAAGGCTGCTGGAGTCCCAGGCACTTCTCTTTTAAAGGGCCTGCCTACAGACTTATTGATGGATTCACTTGCTCTGAGCTCCAATATTAGGGCATCAGCTCAAAAGGCACCAGGGACATGTGAGGAGGAACTGAATTGTCTGGCTTCAGGGCAAGGGCTGGAAGGGTAGCTTTTTCTCAGACAGAAGTGCTGGCAGAAGCCATTGTTCCTTTGTTGGTCCCTCCCCAGACCCAGCCTATATGTGCAGGTGGGTGCCATATCTGAGTCTCCCTCAACCTGGCTAACACTGGTCATCCTACCCTGGTGATTCCCTAAGATCTAGGAGCTCCTTAGACAATAAAAAGCTAAAAGAGTTAATCACTGCCAAACCAGTATTACAAGAAATATTAAAGGGACTTCCTTAAGGAGAAGGGAAAAAAATAGATTAAAAATATGAATAATAGAATGTCAATAATGATATCTCTATCAACAACTAGTTTAAATGCAAATGGAACAAATATTCCAATCAAAAGACATAGGGTGGCTGAATAGATAAGTAAACAAAACCCTTATGTATGCTGCCTACTAGAGACTCACTTCAGGTCGAAAGACTTACATACACAGACTGAAAGTAAAGGAACAAAAAAAGATATTTCATGAAGAAAAAAATGCTGAGGTAGCAATACTTATACCAGACAAAAAAAGACTTTAAAACAAAGGCTATAACGAGAGACAAAGAAGTACTCAATAATTCCACTTCTGGGTATTTATCCAAAGAAATCCAAAACACAAATTTGAAAAGACACATGCATTCATATGTTCACTGTAGCATTATTTACAATAGCCAAAATATGGAGGCAACCTGGGCAGCCTTCAATGAATTAATAAAGAAGAGATGATACATATATACAATGGAATACTAATCAGCCATAAAAAAAAGAATGAAATCTTGCTCTCTGCGATGACATGGATGGACCTAGAGGGTATTATGCTAAGTGAAATAAGTTAGACAGAGAAAGATAAATACCATATAATTTCACTTACATGTGGAATCTAAAAATAAATAAATAAACAAACAAATAAAACAGAAACGAGTTCATAGATACAGAGAGCATTTTGATGGTTGCCAGAAGGAAGGGTTTTAGGGGGATGGGTGAAAAGGGGAGGTGATTAAGAAATACAAATTGGTAGTTACAAAATAGTCATGAGGATGTAAAGTATAGCACAGGGAATCTAGTCAATAATATTGTAATAACTGTGTATAGTGTTAGATGGGTACTAGATCTATAGGGGTGATCACTCTGTAAGTTATATTAATGTCTAATCACTATGTTGTGTACCTGACAGTAATATAATATTAGCATGTCAACGGTAATCAAAAAATAAAAAATTTAAAAAATATTTGAAACACTTTAAAGAACTATTTCTTTTTCTCATATATGCTGATAAGGAATAAACACTTATCGCAGTGACTATAAAGAATTATCCACTACTAAGAATCAACATTTTTGGATTAGCAATAAATCAACTTTCAGGTAGTGTCAGAATTATAAGTCTCTAATTCAGAGAAGCTAAATACCTTAAAAACTTTCTGTTGCTGAAAAATTATCCTTCTGACAAACTAAGAATATATATCAAGCATGGGCATAAATCTGTGCACAGTTCTGAAGATCTCTATACTATTGCTTGTTTTATGTTTCTCAAACATCTTGCTGTCGGTGATTTATTTCACATCCATGTGGCCAGCCATTTGTTTATTCTATTACATGCCATCTGTTTTTTGGTAGAGAGGTTTCAAGTTCTTCTCATTCCCTACCTCATATCCCACAGAAAACAATTTATAATAGACATAGATTTAAATCATTTGGATTCATGTGGAGTTGGTAACTGGAGCTGCCTTTCATTTATATTTGGCAAATGCTTTAATGGGATTAGCAAATTGTGTTATTACGAGGCACTTATGGAGACACAACACCTTTTTTTTACAATGACAAATGATGTTAACAGTTCCATTTTGGGTGTTTAATAGCAGTACAGGGTTCACTAATGTTGCAGGAAATTGCCCTGATAGACAATAAAGTTCTACCACAAACCTTGTCCATATCTTTTATTTCTGAAAGTCAACAAATATGTGTATCTGGATGTGGTAGGGTCTACAGTGAGGAATAAATATCAAGCTGCTTCACTTTTAAGGGTAAGTTATTGTTTGAGCCACAGACCTGAAAATGCTGTCTGGTCGTAACATCTTGCTGGCTTCCTGTAAGCCCTTCTACTAGGATCTAGCTTGTCTAGCTACTCACAAGTGATGGAAGTCCTCAGACTTCCCCAAAGAAATGTTTATGCCACAAACTCCAGCTCATCAGCACCAATTTATTCCCATTCTCTGGTCCACTCTGATTCGCTCTAAAGAAGAGCCAACCATTCAGACACACAGCTTCTTGCGGAAATAATACAGATGATGCTTAAAGTGTTAATTACCATTTTTACAAGAATCCTCACTGCTTTGGTGGAGAGGGAGTGTCTGATGACAGGACTCAGCAGTTGCCCACAGTTCATGGTTGACTCCCAATGGCTGAGAAACGTCCATCTTGAGGTCTACTTGATTTTCACTAGTCCTTATCAAATCAGAATTAGAAATATTGAGGGGGTAAGTGGCATCCTGATAGATACCTGATGAAGTCGGTTTGTGGAAAGTGTTAAATGACATTTGTACTAAAGCTTCATTGATGAAGAATGAATTTTCATAACATAAACTCTCAGATCGATTAAGCTCCATTACCTGTGTAAGAAAATACAGAAAAAACAACAACAATAATTTCCCCAGCTATTGAGTAAGTTTCATAAAGTCCTTATCCCTAATATAATTCAGCAGTCAAGACTTAAATAAGAGTGAGGTCAAGAAGAACGTTATCCTTGACTCCTCCCTCCCATCATCTTCTGAGGAGCTAGTACCAAAAACTTCAATTTGCTATGCACAATGTATCTTAAAGCAAAAACTCTCTGCCATTAAAGTGCTTCCACTTTAAGAGCAGCATTTTATTTAGCTTTTGCTAGATAAAAAAAGTTGAAAACATATTCATGTATTTGCCATAAATGTAATTTAGCCAACTTGAATGTTAACGCAACAAAGATCTTTCTTATAAGCCTATCAGTTTTTACACTTTTATGCACTATCAGTAAAAAGCAGATATGTGCACACAGCACAGAAAAGTAAAGTCCTGGGATGAATGGACTTGTCAAGCATGGTTAGAAAGGATGAGATGGAACATGGACTCTTCTGAAAGGTTTGATTTTGTCCAGTCATTAATTAGCATACTCAGATTAACTATTATTAGTGAAAGGGATTTTGAACTCGCTATGTCAAATTTACAAAAATAAGCTGAGAACAACAGAATAGTATTATACTTGTTAAATTCAGTACCTATAATGCAGTAGCTAATTGATCGACTAAAAGGTGTATCTACACAGAACTCTGAAGACTCGATCATATGAACAGGGTCCCTCAACTACAGGAGAGACAGCATGCGTATGGTAAGTGTTCCTCCAGGACAAACCTTATCTTACCGGGACAACTCAATTTAGCGTTTCTTCCCTTGGATAAGGGCGTCTCAGACTACAATGAGCCCATGATCCCAATAAGACCTAGGCCTTTCAAATTTCTGTATTTCAGATCGAGATGCAAAAGCATTGTCTCTGAAAGTTCCCAGCTTCTGCCACCTACATATTGAGTAACTCTTGTGAGCTCTTACATTAGAAGCAAAGAGACAGGGACCACCATGACTAAACCTGTCTTGGAGAGGCTAGGTGCCTTGCACACCGCTTTGCCAAGCACAGAAAAGCCGTACCTCTGTGCTTCCTGGAGAAAATGCTGCAGGAAGGCTGCTCTGCCGGCTGTGTTTCCAGCCGCACAGAAGGCTCTGCTGGGCCCGCACTCTCTCCCTCTCCCTCTCCACCAGGCGCTGGCCCTCCCTCAGCCGCTCCAGGTTCTGCTGGTACTCCTGGAGCTGCTGGCCCAGCTCCCCACGGTGCCTCTGCAGCAGCTCCTCCTGTGACTGGCACTCCCTTTCGCGCTCCTGCAGCCAGCTCTCCTTGGCCTCCTGTTCCCTTTGCTGCTGGTCACACCTGCGGTGCCAGCGCCGCTGGTCCTGCTGGAACTGGTGCTGGAGCTTGTGGATGTTGACCAGCTCCTCACGCTGCTTCTCCAGGTTGCGGTACTTCTCCTGGTCCTGGAAGGGGCTGCCTCGGAAACAGGGGCCAGAGGACAGGCTCTCCTGCTGGAGAACCAGCTTGTGGATCTCAATGTGGCTGTCCTGAATGGTCAAGGCGGCCTGCCGGAGCAGAGGGGAAAAAAAGTAAAGCCTTCCACATTGTTTGCCCTTTGGGTTGGAACTACTTCTCAACAAAAGGAGCACAAGCCAGTTATTATCTCCTAATATGGTTGTCCTTTTCTAAGGTCCGAAGACCGACGTCAGCACCTCACAGAGGCTTGTCTACATTTCCTCGTGGTATGGCCTCGAATTTACGTATAAAAGAAATAAAGCACAGAAGCAATACTCATTCCCCTCTTTTGGAAATGAGATTCGTTGCTGAGTTTTGGATAACATTAAAGCAACGCTTCTGAATAAAAACTCAGTGCATAAATTCACAAGACTCTGCATTCCCGTGCTATATCTCATTCTCTTTCAGAGTTCATGAGAATTAAGAATCTATACAAACCTGGTAGCATCCTTTATGTGAGTCTCAAACCAGAAATTACTTAAGCTACATTACGTACATGAAGACATAAAAATAAAAGTCAACCACTTGCACACTTTTGGTAAATAATCTTTTTACAGTATAATGTTCAACAATCGCAGTTAATATATTTGGGATCTGTAAGTGGTAAAGCTAGTCTTGTTACTATTATTTCTTTGTATTATAGCAGGAAGGTCATGCATAAAACACTAAGCTGAAATTCATTTGTTTAATAGATTGCTAACAGGAGGCTGGAATGATTAAGGGAACATAGATATTCTAAAGCCCAGAGGACATAACCAACCAGATTAAAAAAACATTTTGAGTTACGGTATCTGCCTATGAAAAGTTTGGCAGCATCACAGGAAATAATTGCCAAGATTTGGAAGGATTCCACAAACCAAACAAAAAAAATCTCTGTGAATGCCCTTGGAAGCTTTTAATTTTAAAAGTTCCCATTTAAAGTGCAAAGAAGCACGGAAGGGACACACTGAAAATAGCCGCATACTGGGTATATGTGTGTGTTTTGACTCATTATGAGAAATTATTACTCTCTTAGGGAAAAATTCACATTTTTCTTTCCTCAGAATTTTTAAAACTGTCCGTGTAGCAGATGCTGGGAAGATGAGGATTTGACCATTACCTCTTTGTTAGATCAGCAGTTTCCTATACTTTTGAAGGTTAAAGAATTAAGGTATATTTTAAGTTGGTACATGTCTTGGAATAAGACTTGAAAATGTATTCACCAGGCCTTTTGAAATAAAATTTATGTTTTTAAAATTGAAAATAATTTTTAAAATTGCAAATTCATATAAATATTTGATTAATGTCTTTTAGAAGTTATCACAAAGAGAACAATGAACATAGAGAATAGGTACTAATTACTTTGATCTTTATGAAATAATAAGCTATTCAGGACTCTGAGGACTTGGCTAGGGCAAATTGTAGACTATACCGCACCACTTAATTCTAAGAAATCCAAAGCTCATCAGTACAGTAAAACAAACAATCATAATTTTATATGTCAAAACTACCACAGGCAATGATAACTCTCACATAAGCATTACAATTAGTCTAAGTATTACCATGAAGAGTTTGTCACATCTACTTAACACTGGGAATAAGACCATTCTCTTCTGTAGCACAGAGGTGGGATTTGAAGACTGGGTAATAGTCACTTCACACTTAAAGTTTACATTCATTGATATTTAGGGTAGAGAACAGCACTTGCTTTCCAAGTTTAGGAAAATTCTCAATTCACTCTCTCTTAATTTTGCTGGAATAACTCTGTGTCCTTTCCTTTCTACTTTGCCTACACCTCATCTCTAACCCTGCTCTCCTAAATAGGGATCAAATTTCATTTTCATCTGATTCAAAAATGTTTATGTTAAAACTTCCATCATGCATAAGAGATTCAGCTTCAGAAGAGATAACTGTGCCATAAACAGAAATCTCTCAGAGCCCATATACTTAGACCATATCGAAACTTTAGTTAAGAATCACTATAGAATTTGATATTTCCCATGCTGCTTCAACCTAATGAGTTGCAAAAATTAGGTCATTTAGGTCACCTGGCTTTTCTGGACTTTGAATCCAGATAGGGCTGCTTTCAATGTTGGAAAGAAGAGATATGACTTTGTGAGTATTTTCATCAGAGATACTCAGTGTTTTTGTCTCTAAAAAAGTTAATGAACTATACTTAAATTATATCCTTTATTTCAAATTTAAAGGAAAGAATATTTGTTTTACATGATAAATTCGATCTTTAAGAGCATCTGCCCCAGACCAGCATATTTAATGTAAGACACTAAAGGTATTCTCACTAAATCTTGAACAAGACAAGGATGCTTACTATTACCACTATTATTTGATACATTTTCCGAAGTTCTAGGCAGAGCAATAAACCAAGAAAATAAAATTAATATATTTATTGAATAGCCATAATACCAGTTTTTTCAATTTTTTACTTTCTCCTCAGAATATTTCAAAGAATCAACAGAAAAACTATTAAAAGAAAAAACAAAATTCAACAAGTTGCCCATTTACAAAATAAACACATAAAAATCAATACTTTTATTATCAGCAACTTCCATTAGGGAAATTAATTTTAAAAAGTCCATTCACAATAGCAACAAAAAGACAAATATCTGGGAATAAACTTAGCAAAACAACAACTAGTACCTATATGCAGATTATCACAAAGCTTTCCAGTAGAACATAAAATAAGAGATGACTAACAACATGTTCTCAGACAAGAGGACTAACTGTTGCAAAAGTACCAATTCTCCCTAATTTAGTTCATAAATATAATGAGCTTTTAATTTAGCAGTTTTGGTAGAAAGGTAAGAAACTTGTCAGTAATTCCAAAGAGCTTATGGAAGAATATGCAGATAAGCATAGAAAAATAATGAGTTGACTAGTACTCCCACATATTCAAATGCAATCTCAAACTTTAATAATTAAGATAGTGGTGCTAGAGCAAGAATAGGGAGATGATGAATAAATAGAACATAAGAGAAAGAAGTTTTTATGCAATTGAAGTATAAAGAAAATATCAAACGTAACATAACTTCACATTTTTTTCTGGTGAAAATTTAAAGTCAGACTTAATTTTATTTTCTTTTTAATATTCAACAGGTATGAAATAAGAAGTATAACTGGCTAATAAACCAGTAGGAAAAAAAGTTTCATCTCAACAGTAATCCAAGAAAATGCAAATTAAGATAATCAGATACCTTGACCAATTTTTTAAATTGAAGAGTAAAGAGAGGCAATGTCTACTAAAAACCTAAAAACATAATTCTGGTAACTGCTCCTAAGGAAATACTTAAATATTTTCAAAGAGATTAGCGTACAAGGATATCACTAGAGTGTTATTAATACAGAAGTATAAACTATGAGGAATTGGATAAATACAGTTCACAGACTGGAATATTATACAGCCATTAAAAATTATGCTATAGAATAATCGCTGACATAAAAGGTATGTGTTGCAAGACTATATATAAAATGATTCTAAAAAACAGGAGGGATATATACCATCATGACAATAATTCTCTCTATAGACTCAAAAGTCATTTTACTTATTTGTATCCTCAAATTTTTCTACAAATGTGTCTACAATACCACCATTGCTTTGATATCTGTTAAAATATTTTTTAATCCACAAAATTAAGCAATTAGATGTATTCAGCCTTTCTCATGCACACCCTAAGGGATCATCCAAACTTATAAGCCTTAATGCAAACATGGTGCTTATGCTTGTCTTTCCTTGACAGACAGTAAGCCTTTTGAGGGTGGGCTTTGTGGTCCTTTTGCCTTTGTGTGCTGAGCCCTCTGCATAGCGCCCTGCACAGACAGAGCACTCAATAAATGTTGGGTGGATGAACAAACAAAAGAATGAAGGAGCATACGAATTATTTAACTGCTCTAAAGGCCTAAGGCCAACATGTGGAAGTGAAAAAAGTTTAGGCGTGAATTTAAGTTTTCAGCAGAAAATGTGAAGTCATGCTACACTCACCTAAAAGTTTCATTGTGAACTTCAAGCCAGATCATATTCATCAGTATTTTTAAAGATATGAACTGTTTTATGGTTTCAGAGAAGAATAGTAAAATATAGTAGTGGCGCTGCCTTGTGATTACAAAACCAGGTGAAGTTCAACACATCTAGCTGTTACAGCTGGGGGTTGGCATTCTTGTAAGATCATTCACTACCTTGCAAATGTTCTAATTTTTAAAGTATGGGAATCATCAAATAAAGTGAATTGCATTAAGAGAAACATTTACAAGGTCAAAAATGAGAGGAGCACAGTTACCTGAAGGCTATATAAGAGACGGGTTAAATTCTGTATCGCTTGTATAATCTGAAAAATAAGATCCTAAGTGTCAAATTCTTGAAAAAGCATTCATTATCCACAAATAAAGGATGGTTATATCTAAGATATGCATAGCTCACCTCTGACTGTGAAGAACCTGGAAAACTTCTATATTCCACCTAAAATACATAAAAACATAAGAAAATGAATAATCACTCTACTTTTGAAAGCTACACTGTAGTATTCCCAAATGTATGACCTTGGGCAAATCACTTCATTCCCTCTAAATTCCTCTATAGCGACTGCCTCCTTCCAGAAATCAAAGCCTATAGAACTAAACAACCATTTATTGAAGCCCCCTCTATGCAAACTCAGTATTTGAGATGCTTGGCAACTTTTCACCCAACCATCCCTGAAGACACAGGGAAGCGCTGCACACTCTCAGTGACAATATTTACCTTGTGCAAACCATACTGTAAACTGAGCTCTCTGTGCTCAGGTTGAAGCTGTCTCCCAGGCCAGTCTGGCCCTGGCATCTTGGAGGCCAGATTTGAAAGCTAGAGAACATCATGCTGGTGGTCTCTTACTCCCTTTCTCAATGTTTGAGATTCATGAAGCCCAAATAGCCAGTGGTAGGATGAAGAAACCTGACCTAGAGGTGATCCAAAAGGAGTCCTAAGCTGACCCCCTCCAGATCCCATCTCTCAGAATTCACTGGACTCTCTGTGATTGCCTTAGTAGAAGCACTACGGGCAGAGGCCATGAATGAGGCAACCAGGGATCATCTGCTCCTGAAACATGGAGTGTCTGCCTCATTCTTCATCTCTCTTCCTACACATTAAGGGCACATGTGGATAGTTTCTAACCACATGTGGAGGGTTTCTAGCTTCCAGAGTTGAACTGAACATTTGTCTATTCATTTATTGTTTGTCTTCCCTCACTAGGATATAAGCCGATGAGTAGCACAATTTCATCTGTGTATTCAACGCTATTATCTGCAAACCTAAGAACAATGCCTGGTATAAAATGGACACTAGTTCTATTCTATAAGTAAACATCAGGCACCTACTATGTACTCCACATCTTATGCTATGAAACATCATCAGATTCCCTGCCTTCCAAAAGCCCACAGTCTCCCATTGCTCTTCTTTGAGCAGCTTTAAAGTAAAATCACAAGTGCTCAGGTAGCCTTGGACTTCTTAAATTCAATTAGTTCAGGCAGAGGATGCCTTGATGAGCTAGCCAGATCTCTGCCCCCAAAATGCCAATTAAAGATTTCATTACTAACCAGCACCTCTTATAGGAGAAGGACAAAGGATGGAAAAGGAGATGAAGTTTATAATCATTACATTTGTGCCCACAAGATAATGGGGGATAAGAGCCCCCATTCTGTAGTGAGTTTTAGAATTCTCTCTGCATTTCTAGATCTGTCCTTGCTCCATACTCCATAGTTTTTGTAATAAAATATAGTACAATTTACGTTTTTTATATTCTATAAAAATTAGAAACATAGAAATGAGTTGAGTTATGCTACATATGATTACTTTTTTCAAAGAATCACCAGGTTTGATACAAGACAGGAATCTTTAATGTCATTTTTTAATGGAGTTGTTCTGCCACCTTGTGGTGAATGTACATAGCTGCGGTTAGTGATTTATATGGGGTATTTTGCCATTTGGGTTACACATTTTATTTTTTAAAAATTCTTTCAGAAATGCTTTAAAAAAAAAAAACTCTTACCTTAGTAAAAAATCTAATTACAAAATATCCATTCTACACTTTTTTAAAGTTTTATTTCAAGTGATCCTGCCCTATATGTTAATTCATTTGGTTTCTCCAAATGCCTTATGAATGGCAAATTTTTCCAGATAGGTTCATCCAAAGAGGAATCTAGACACCTAATCTCACTTACCTGTGACTTAATCGTGGAAAGAAAGACTTTAGGGGTAGAAACTACCACAGCTTTCCATTCAAGAGAAAATGATTACTAATCAACCTCCCTCCCCTTCTTTCCTCTAATACAAAAGCAGTTGGAGGCTGCAAGCTTAAGTGAAGTCTGCATTGTAAAGGAAGGAAACCAGGAACATTCTAAGAAGAAAAAAGTTAGAAAGCTTACAGTCAGAATAAGTGGAGTAAAATACTGCATATCATTCCGGTTTTCATTCTGGCCTATGAAGTTTTAAACATTTAAATCACAGGCATCTTTTTCCACAGATTTAAAAACAATCTTTAGATTTGGTTTCTCAATTATTTGTATATTTATACAGAGATATATAATACATAAAATGTTACACACATAGAGAGCTGACACTTGTCATTTTACCACATTAACACTTGTTGGTATTTGGCAATGCACCTAATTTTATTTTAGATAAAGGTAAATTCTTGAGCCCAGTGGATCCTGGGGAGGCCCACTAGCCAGCTCCCAGAATCGTGTTCTTATTACCACACTATTTCTGACGTCTCAGTTTCATTAGAAGTTAATAGGAAGTTTCATGCATTTTATTTTTACAAGAGAGTGTTATAACCTATGTTTATAGAGAAGAAAAGAAAGGTGAAAAGAAGCAAGCAAAATTCCAGTCAAATTATTTCTGCCACTTTAGCGCCACCTGGTGGGACAAAGGCCTGGATGCCCAGGACCACGCCTTGGCCAAGAGTTGCTGAATGTCGTGGGTGAAAAGCTAGAGGCTTCAGTGCGGACAGTGAAAGCGAGACCAGAAGAGAGCTCAGACACACAAATAAACATTCGAGTTTTGAATCTTTTTAATAACTTTTCATTTGGTTCTTTGTTTACACCTACATGATATAGGAGGAGCAAGAATATTGAAAGAGGAAACAAGTTAGAAAGTTTAAATATAAATATTGAAACAGAGAACAATTCAGGAAAACATTTTCATACGACTCTCAGCCATGGACAGACCAGGACCTGGGGTAATTTTATTACACAAAGTAACCCGGGCTATTTACTAACAAATCAGTTCACAATACCTTCTCCCCTGCATCAGAGACCGCCAAGTCGGTTCCCACACCCTTGGTCCCGGGATCCACATCCCAACAGCCTCTTCCTCCTGTCCCTTCTGTGACTAGTGCTGGAAGCACACCATTGAGACAGAAACAAAAAGGACATCATCAAACATCAGCCAGAGGACTGGGCTCTTTTGTACACAGCTGACACATTTCCGAGTAACGAACGTCACAAAATCACATGTATTGGATACTCTTAAAAGAGGTGCTAAAACAGCACAGAGCAACACAAGAGTCCCTGCTCTCGGGGAGCTTACACGCTAATAGATACCAAACTGACAAACGGCACCGATTATCACTCTTGCGGAGAGGTGTTCATGAGACGGTGGTGGTACTGACGGGGTAGATTCTACATCTTACTTTCATTTAATAGGAAAAAGCCGCCTGGGGAGGGTGAAATTGAGAACAGGTACTGCAGAACAAAAGCCAGGGCTGGCAGGCGCAGCTGCAAGGGGACAGGTCTGTGAAAGGCTCCCTGGTGGCCGGAAGGAGAGCAGCAGACCACAAACCCGGCTTAGAGGAAAGGCGTGGAGGAAAGGGGTCCTCCGGTAACAGCAGTGGAACATCTTTCTGAGCAGGGTGAAGGTGGCTAATACTTTATGGCCTCACAGTCACACACACTGAGAACCTGTCCCTATCTCCAACTAACTGATTTTTAAAAACAATTTCCGAGTGTGTTTTTTCCCTCACAATTCTTGCTTATGCTCTAAATTCACAAATACAATAAATACTGTATATTTAACCTATAAAAATGTAGAAATATTTCTAGTCCAATAGTATTTTTATATACACATACAGATTTCACTCTATCCATTAAATTTCTGTTAGCAGGATTTTATTTATTTATCCATGTGAACTCAGTTAAAACGTACACCATGCTCACCTTACACTGATTAAAACTAGAGCTTCCAAAGCCCTTTCACACACGGAATTTCATTGGAACCATGTCCAATCAAGACCCTGATGAAATCTTCACTCTGTGACACTATTTATAATTTTTTCCCCCACTACCATCTTGAAACTTTATTTCTGATGAAGGAAATACATTTTTCTCTTTGTTTAAATGAGAGTCCTCTAGGACACCAAGGCACTCTTCTATTACAAATAAATTTTTATTTAAGCAGAAACTGCTTCAAATTATATCGACTAAACTAAGTTCATTTTGCCCACGCCAGTCAACACTTATTCACTTATAGTGAAGGGACATTTTATAGAGACTTTTCTGTCTCTAAAAAATTGGTTCCTCCATTGGGTACCATTCTTAACTCAGAGAGATGACAAAAACATTACAAAAACAATTAGCCATTCTCTCTTTCTTCCCCCTCAAAAAAAAAAAAAAAAAAGAGAACCATCAAGTGGGAAAGGAGCCATCAAATGGGTGAGTCGATGAAGGCAGAAGACTGGAATATAGATCAGGTCTCTCTGTTCCTGTATTCAATTTCAGAGTAGATGAGAGGGTCTCCAGAATTTTTTAGGGAGTAGATTATACTCATCCACCTGGTTAGGTACATTGAGGACTAAACACAGAGGGCCTTGCTTGGTATATAAGCTCAGGCTGACATGAGCCTGACTCAGAAGGCCCCAGTCCTCAAAGTCAAATCCGGAACTGACCCATTCAGGAACAGAGCCTCATTTAAGAATAGTATTTTGCTCTCACCAACTTTATAAACGGAATCAAATTCTTGTAGCACCATGTTCTGGTCCAGCCAGAACTGAATAGGTCTTTGGGTAGCAGACCCCATTGACATGTCCCTGCCCCTCCTCTACATGAATCCTGGTATCAGGCCACTATAAAGAGCCTCTCAATAGTTCTGGCAGATGTCCTGAGCATCTCTGGGAGCTCATGGGAGATGTGGGTCCTGACAGAGAACTTTCACCGCCTGGTCTGCAGGGCGGGAAGGTCATGTACTCTGAGCAGCTGCAGCAGCAGAATGGAGACCCTCCCAGCTGTCCCCGGGGCGAGGCTGAGAGCAGCAGACCCCAACATGTATTTTTAGATAGAACTTCCTCAATGGCATAATGAGGTTCGTCTTTAAAAAGGAAATCACCCAGGGCAGTACAACTCCCCTGATGAATCTGGGCTGTGTTGAAATGAAAAACATATGTGCACATTCTGAAAATAGAAACCCAGGATTAGATAAAGCAGAACTTGAGAGGGTAAAATAATTACTGGTGCTAGTTAAATTTAAAAAAAAAAAAGTATAGAACTTAAAAACTGTATGGTTTCCATATATCTTAATTTACCAAAGGATGTTTTTAAAGACATTCCAAGACAATTTAATCCTCCAATCTCTAGCTACTAAAGATATTTTATCTTGTGCATATAAGACCTGGTGGGAGTGAGGTTTCTACTACCCGAACATAATAAAAAATATATTATTTTTTTTAAATATCTTCTTCTTCATGTTCTTATCTCAGAAACCTTTAGGGAATTAAGTATTTAGCCTCCAACTATACATATAATAATACAATTAGGTTCAGAGAAATTACTTAAATCAATTCTCTACGTTCTATTTCTCTGTATTTAAAAAATATTGAAACAGCATTTTTAAGAAATGATTTCTGACCTGAACTAAAGTGTATGACGACATTGGTCAAGAATCTTTTGGCACTTCTGCTTCTAACCATACCACCAAACCTCGTGTGTGCACGTGTGTGCCTGTGTTGGGGGTGTGTATGTGTGCGTGTGTGTGTGTCTGTGGTTCTACATTTCTGAATTATGCTTTTTCTCCATCGATGCATAGATTAAGTTAAAGGACTTGTTCTCTGATAAACTGCAGGGACCCTATTTCCAAAAAAAAAAAAAAAAAGTTTAAAAGTTCTTTCAAAACTATATTCAATAAGTTATACCAAAAACGAGGCAGGGTAGGTTTGGGGTAAGGTACAAAGCTTGCCTGGGTAACAGAGCAGTATAACCCACCAACTATTCCTTTAAGTCCTTGTCCTTGGAACAACGGTGTCATTATTACACGCAAAGGAGGCTGGTGTGTTTATTCTCAGCATTTTTCTAATTTTAAAAAACACATTAAGGCCTCTCCAAATAGAAACAGAGTTACTGCCTTTATTTTATACAAACACTATATGCTCCAGGGGTTGCGTTCAGGCTCATGGCAAAGGCCTGCGTTTTCACTTACAAGCAGTAGGTGGTCCTGGTGCATCATGAGGACTGAGTATGTCTGTCAAGGCAGATTCTCCACACCCTTCCTCAGATGATTGACAGGCATCACCCATCTGGGAGGACTTCACTGCAACTTGTAGACTCTCGGCTAAGAAGTAGGAAAACAAAAGTAAATTAAAAATTAAAATATATAATATTTAAATCTAGACGAGGAGTTAGCAAACTATATTTGGCCTGTGTCTGTTTTGATATGGCCCAGGAGCTAAAAATGATTTTATATTTTTAGAGTTGTTGTTTAAAAAATATTGAAACAGCATTTTTAAGAAATGATACACACACATGCATGTGCACACATACACACACACATAAAGAAGAAGAATATGTTGCAAAAACTGTATGTGGCTTGCAAAGCCTGAAATATTTACTCCCTGGCCCATTACAGAGAAAGCTTGCCAACTTACAATCTAGACCAAAACTTTAAGCATCATTTTGGTAGAGAATTCAATTAAAAAAAAAAAAAAGAAAAGTGCCATATAAAAATATCTCAAGTGCAACTTTCAGTAAATTAGTATGCTAAACATTCAATTAATTAAATATATCAGGCATTAGGATTGTAAGACTTACTCCGAAATATAAGCTATTCTTAAAAGAGTCTTTACCCAAACATGCCTTAAAAAAATAGAGATTCACACTCCTCACCCTAGACCTGCTGGATCAGATTCTCCAGGGGAAAAAGCAGAGGATTTGCACTTTAAACAAGCATCGTAGGCTATTCTTGGGCTATAGTAAGACTGGGAAACACCATACCAAGAAAGTGAAGTTTTTTATTTACAATAAAAGATTTTCAACTACCATGGAAAATAGTATCATTTTGAGGACCTTACAAATATTTCTAAAACACTCTGATGATTTAATTCAGCAAACGGAGCAGCTACTATGTTCTAGGCACTAATGGGCATCCAATAACTAGTAAGGAGAGTTTATAGACTGGAGGAAGAAAGAGACACAGACAACTATCTATACCATGCGTTCGCTGCTAAGTTCTATCGTCCAGATATTATAAAATGCTCTAGTAGCTCAGAGGAGCAGGAGGGTTACAATAGCTGGTGAGAGTTCTTAAAGAAGATGAACACTGAGCAGAACCTTGAAGAATGTCCTTTTTTTCAATGGTAATTCCCTCGCCTTGATAAGAATTCCCACTAAGTCTCTCAGCCTGGGTGTTGATAGTCAATGACTGAGGTGGATTTTCCAGCCTGTGGCAGAACCTCAGCTGCTCTGGATTCTCTTAAGCAGCTGGGTCTGCTTGCTGCTCCCCAGCACCTCCATCCCATGGTGGGCCAGAGGAATTCAAGCAGGTCAACTTACAATCAGGCATTAGGGACAGTTTTGGTGGGGGAGGACATGAAAGCCACTGGGTAAAATTAACAGTAGGTGACTTTTTCAATAAAGAGATCATCGAAGATAAGGAGAGGGTCATTGGTTCTTCTCAACCCATTTGAAAGTCCTTTTGGCTTTATTTCTAAAATATATCTTGCGTCTGCCCACTGCTTTCTACTTCCACTGTCAGTAATCCGGTCTAGACCAAGGCCCTAACATCCCTCATCTCAGCTTCTGTAAGTGCTTCCTGTCTCCAGGCAAATTAGTCTTCTTTCAATCTGTTCCCCATTCAGCAGTCAGTGTTCTTTTCAAGACAAAAATAAGACGATGCCACACCCATGATTAATGCTTTCAGTAACTTGCCATCAGTTTTGGAATAATTTCTTTTTTTTTTTAACCATGGCCCACAAAGATCTGGTCACCGCCCGCCTCATGGCAGTCTCCCTTGATCTTGCCAGCTTGGCCTTCCTTCTTTCCTCGAGCATGCCAAGCTCATTCTAGATGCAGGGACTTTGCACGTATTGTCTCTCTGCACAGTAATGGTCCTCCCTCAGACTTCTAGACAACTGGCTTCTTTTGTCTTTCAAGTCTCATCTCAAAAAATAATCTCCTCAGAGGGGTCTTCCCTGACCCCTGAAAAGCCTTCACCTCATTCTAATCCCATTACCTTATTTTCTTGTGAATTTCTGAAATGTTCTTGCTTCCTTGTGTGTTGTCTGTCTTCTTCCACTGGAAGGTTTTATGAAAGCATTACTGTTTTCTTAGCACCAACCACAGTGCACAGAATAGATGCTCAATAAATATTTGGTGAATGAATGAGTAAATCCATCAGCAGACCCCACTTCTGCCAACCTCTATGCCCTTCTAAAGACCTCAGTTTCCTCAACTTATGAAATTAAGGTGATAGATTCCATGAATTCTTAATTTTCTTCCAGCTAACATTTCTGAGATGCTAAGCCAGAGCTTGGCAAACTTTTCCTCCAAAGGACCAGAGAGTAAATATTTTAGGCTTTGTAGGCCATAACATCTTTGTTACACTATTCGTCTTCGCCACTGTAGCAAGAAAGCAGCCATAGATGATATGCAAACAAGCAGGCGTGGCTGTGTTCCAATAAAACCATATTTACAAAAACAGACAGCGGCACGCATTTAGTCTGTGGTCCGCAATTTACCAACCCTTGTTCTGAACAACAGCATTCCCTGCCTCTCTCTCAGGTGGTGGCCGTTTTACTTCCCAAACCCTTTGTCTCTATTGTCACTTCCAGACTATTAACCTCATTTCTCCCTTTAAATCCTCTTTTCCCTTAAAGTTCGTGCCATCAGATTATACCACTCACTGCCCCTCCTTATTGCCAGTCATTCTTCTACAGACTCCTTAAACATTTTGAGCTACTATTGCAACTCACCTCTTCCCCCCCCAATGCCACTCCTGTCAAAATTCTCAGTAATTCCAGTTCTATGAGCTTCCAAAACCCTGGCTTCTCATCTCCTTGACTCTCTCACCTTTGGTGATCTTGTCCTCTACCCTACCTCAGCCACCAACTCCCAGTTATACCCTAGACTTCGTCACTCTCTACATAGCAGAGTGTTTCATTTAAAACGCAAATCAAACCACTCCTCTACTCAAAACTCTATAATGCTTCCAGTCCTACTTAGAATGAAATTCAAAGTCGTTACCTCCTTCTGTCCGGATAATCTGCATCCTAGTTAACTCTGACTCATCTCTGAATACTCCGTACCCCTCAAGTCACTCTACCTGCACCGTCCTCCTTGCTGTTCCCCAAAAAAATCTGGCACTCACCTGCCTCGGGGCCTTTGCTCTGCTGTTCCCTATGTCTAGAAAAATCTTTTCCCAGACAGATATCTATTTGGCTTTCTCAATTCCTTTGTGTTTGCTTACATATCGAAGGGGCCTTCACTGGCTGGCTACCCTGTCTAAAACAGGACCTCCCCAACTCCATCAGTCTTTATCCCCCATACCCTACTTATTTTTCTTCATAGCACTTGACATAAGCTGATATATTTATATCCTTATATTTCGCTATTTCTGTAATATAAATTCCAGGAGAGTCAGGACCTTGTCTTATTCTGCTGTATCTTCAGCACCAAGACCGCCATGCACGGCTCTTAGTAGGTCCTCAATAAACATTTTCTAAACTTGTCACATCAAATCCTTTGGAAGCAACTTGCCTTCTCTCAGTGCTGCGGCCAGCAGGGAGGCCGCCTGGGGAGGCTCCCCAGGGTCCGGTTTAATGAGGAGGTGGGGCTCGAGATGGGCATCCTCAAATCCACTCAGCTCTCCAAGTTCAGCATAGATATGCAGCTTCTCCTCCAAATAGGTACAAATTTGTTGGTCCTGATTACTGAGTATATCTGTGAAACAGTATTTAGCACAAAAGGTTATTATATGACTATAATGATTAATATGAACATTCAAGTTACAAGAAAAAGATGTTGCTGATTAGTAAGCAGGTAAAATTCAAGTTATTGGGTGGGACAGATCCAAGTTCAAATCTTAACTATTTCATTTAGTGACTGTAGCCTCCAGCAAAAGACTTAATTCTCTGAGCTTTCATTATCTTTTCTATAAATAAGGCACTCGATATATGTCTGTTTCCTTTTCCATTCCCCTAATTCCAGAAAAACCGCAAAGCTGTTCTTTGTTCGGGCTGTTTTCTAAATATTAAGCTCAGGAATGAAATCGAGGTGGCTTGTCCATAATGAGGGATACCCACAGGGGAAAACAATGCAAAGGCCCGAAACGGCTCAGGCTTCAGTCAGCCTTGGTCAAAACCAAACACACTGGTTTACGTTTTTATTTCTAAACATCCAATTTCTTTGACCACCTTTTCATGCATCATTTTTCTCTGATTTCAACATGTCACAGCTTAAAGGGATCTTAACCGGCATCTAATCCAGGGGTGTCCTCTCTGCCTCAGAATCACCTGGGGAGAGTTTAAAATACTGATGTCTACTCCCTCACTCCCACAGGTTCTGAGTGAATTGGTTGAGTCTGGGGTCCAGGCACCAGAATTTTTAAAGACCTCCCCCAAGTGATGCTAATTCCAGCATCACTGATTTAACCTCATTTTCTTGCTTTGTGGACTTGGAAACCAAGGCCAGGAGCTACTTACTACTGTGTTCCTTGTTCAGAGTCACACAACAATGACCCGACAGTGCTGGGACCCAAAATTAAACCACTGGATAGCAACTGCAATGCCCATCTGTGCCACACTGCCCACAGTTACTATTTCATATACGTTATGTGCAGAATTTTAAAATATATATTTTTTTAATCATTAAAGAAGAAGGAGAGGGACATCTTATCTGAGCACGACCAGTACCAGTACTTTTTTTTTTTGAGAGTAGTTAAGGTAGGCCTTGGGTACGCAGAATGAGATCAACCATTCAGTCCTAGCTTCTCGTTCACGACGCCTGCGCTTTCTCCACGTCCACGAACAACACCACGACGAGGGAGCCAGAGTTTCCTGTGCCACGCACCTTGACATTGCTGAATTTTGGCCACTCTTGCTTCCGCTTTCCGCCTCTCTTCATCAGATTCACTTGTCCTTCCTCCTTCCTCTTCTGGGCAACTTTAAAAGACAACAGCCAAGAGAGACAACCGAAACCAGTCTGAGTATCTTCAGGTTCATTAGAAAGACACAGGAACTTGGCAGTAGAATTATTCGAAGAAAAATTCAGCCTGAAGAGAATCTGTCATGCCCCCAGACCAAGAGATTTGCTTTTCTTGAGCAAATAAAGGACCCTGCATACTATAACATAGCTCTCAAAGTCAGCAGCATAGAATGATTCAACTATTTCAACCAACAAACACACACATACACACAAAAACATACTCATGTACACACACATACAATAATAATAGATACAACTAAAAATAATAATTTTGCTTTCTACTACATTTGGAAAGTTCTATTCTTAAGGGATTAAAGTAGAGGAATTATAGAAGGTGGAAGCGGGGTGCCAGGTTGAGTAGGGTACATTGGAAATGCAGGAATTTTATGTAACATCATTCGAGATCTAAATAATCAAATTAAGAATGATCACCCATCGACCTCTCCTACCTATTGTCCTTGCATAATAATGAGAAGTAAGTTGACTTTGAACACTAATCTAAAAACATTTATTGAATGATCCTTCAGAATTCAGCAAAGAGAGAAACAAAACACATTCCCTGCCCTCAAGGAGCTTCCAATCTAATAAGAAAACATACATACATAAAAAAGATAACAGGTACAAGGCAGTGTGACAAGCATGAAATAGATGCTTTAGAGAGCAGGTGTTAAAAAAATTTCAGGCAAGAAAGACACCACCGGAACTGAAGAGGTCTTCACGAAGGTGAGCCATGAGCTGCACCAACGATGGGCAGGATTCACGCAGGCAGAGGGGAGATGGGGGGTGCAGGGAGGTGCAGAGAAGAAAGCTGCAGATGAGAGGCTATCACAGGCAGGCGCAGGGGAGCAGACCACGCTGGCTGAGGCAAAGTTTTCATGCAAGGAGACACAGTCAGAATATTTTCCCCAACTGAACAAGTCCATTTCCTGGATTATGGACAGAAGGAAATATTACCTTTCGACGGCCTGTTGGATCCGTCTCATCCAGTTATTTCGTTCCTCCTTGGAACTGGTATGAATTTCATACATCTCAGGACCAGCAGATGAAGCACTGATCAGAAACATTCCTCTCTCCTCATTAGCAACTTCTCTAGCAATAAGCTTTTGAAGGGAAATAACGGATGGCTTCTGATCCTATGCAAAATAGGAGGGCGTGCAGATGAAACGGCATCCTGTCTTAAGTAAGGGTCTCACAAAACACATTAGCTAAGGCAAGCAATAGTATCGGGCAAACCTTAATATCATGTCAACCTTTTCCAAAGAGCTGTGGAAGTTGGTAAGGTCTCTAATGGAAAGACTATGGTGAAGAGAGGATGGAAAAAAATAATACAGGAGAATGTTTGTCCTTAAGAATTGGTGATTTAAAAGGACAACTTTAAAAAAGAGAGAATAATCAGAGCATTAATTTAAAAAACCCAAAATGCCATAGTCAGGGGTCGAGTGAGTGGTTTTTCTAGAAGGGTATGGATAAGAAATAGTACATCGACTATTACAAAGAGATTGAGATGGAAGACCTAAAGAGTCCATTGGATTTGGCAGGTAACAGCAATACTTTTTTAATAACGTGATGGGTACAGCACCGAAGAGTGGACTATAAACATGAAAGGCAAAAATAAAGAGGTAAGACTTTAGATTACTCAGACGTCTTCTGATATCATAGGAGAACAACAACATAACTTCAATAGTTCTACCTGCAAACTTCTCTTCTTCCCACCAACCAGGTGAGCCTTTGGTGGGCAGAAACAGGTCTAATTCATCTTTAATTCATCTTCGCACACCTAGCATGGTGCTTTGCATAGAGCAGGCACTCAATAAATGTCTGTAGAACTAGATTTAGCTTAATCCCTTCAGAGGGGAATAGGAAAAATGTCTAAAATCCGGCATCCAACCCATGATTAAATCACCACTTCTACCAACATTTACAGCGATCCTTCAATGTCCAATTCAAAGATGAATAAGACACTGATAATAACAACATAGGTAGCCAGCTGTAGTTGAAAGAATAGTCAAAAATATGCCTGCAGCATGATTAGTTTTGGGGGTAAATGTAAAGAATCTCCTTTGGTTAGTGGCTTCTACCACTGCTTATAGAGTCGGTTGCAGTGTGTGGTTTGGCTTCTCCCTCATGGACTGAGCAACACCTTCATCCAGAGCACATCCACCGCTTACTGCTGACTCCTCAGTGCTGGCTTTGCTCTCCCAGCATCACTCGACTCTACCACATCTGAAGCTGTATGCAAGAGTCTGCCCAGAGTACCTCTTCATCCCTGTCCTGCTCTCTAGTTAGGGAGAGCTCCTGCGTACTGTTGACATCCCTTAGTCGATTACAGATCTACTAAGACCTTATTTCCTTTCCTTCTTTCTGTGCAGTTTTAACTTCTTCATCTTACACTTACATCTTACACTTCATCTTTTTACACTTCATCTTACAGTGTAAAAAGCCTCTGTAAGAAAAGAGGCAGAGTAGGTTTGAATTGCTCGAGGCATAAGCAAGAGTGAAATTATTTGATCCAGTTGGTTAGTGTCACAGCAAGAGGGGAGATAGTGGGGTCAGATATTTTTAAATGAAAAATAAATGGGTAGAAAGTAGCATCAATTAAATCACCATCAGACCAGGATGATGGCATTAGGGACATGCCCATCATTATTCATACTAATCACACATGAACATCAGAGATGATCAGGAATTTAAATTAAATCTCTAGGAATGGAGGTAACATGTCTACTTTGGAGACCAATGTCAAAAACCGATGGTGCAAAGGCTTAACCCAGACTGCAGAGATGTTTCATTTGTGACATAGCATTTAAAAACCAGATTTTTTTGGACTCGTTGTCAATAATTAAAAACTGGGGGATTCCGCTTAAAAATTTCTAGACTTCTGGGTTCTTGGGAAAAGCAGAAGATTAGCAACTCTGGGCCCATATACTCATTCAAAAACACGCTATACCTGAACAATCCTGTCCTCTTTGAGACGGGGCATGTACTTGCCAGTTCACGTTACTTTCTACCACTTTCTATAGGCTTCTCGATACCAAGCTCACTCCAGTTCACTCATTTACATTCCTGCCTAATTTCTATAGGCACTGGAGTTGAAACCTCTGCCAGAGAGGAAGCGGAAAAGGAGCTGCTACCTTCAGCCCATTGTTCTGACATATCCATTTGTGATTCCAGTGTGGCTTATTCTATTAGTGGGCAATTCTATTCATGATTCCACTGTGGTAACAAGACCTAAAGGTCACTTCCTATTTTGAACTTGCACTTGCACATCTACAAGTTCACTTTGTCTTTATTATTGACCATTCATTTTGAAATTACCTTCTTTGAAATTCAAGACATCCTCCTAGACTCAGTATTCCAGGATTTAGTAAATACATCTACTTTTTCCTATTCATTTCGTAGATTTGGATCCTACTGCCATTTCCAGCTGAGTCCTCTTTAAAAACAAACAAAATTATCTTGTAGGAAGCTACTCCAACCTCTTGCTACTTTCAGCTCCTTATCTTCTGGCCATTTCCAAATTCATCATGTCCTCCGAAACATACAGCAAGCATTTACTTAAGAAGTTTTTCTAATAGTACAAGAGAGAGAATCTCACCTGTGGGTATTAGTGTGAAGTTAACTTTCTAAAATTCTAAGGTGAGAACTAGGAAATCCAGATATTTGTATACTCCTAGCCAACACATCATTTCCCGTAAGATGTTAATTATAAAATATTTATGATACATGGGCTGTGACAACTAAATATATGATGAAACGAAAAAGCATATAATTGAAGAGTGCACTTGAATCTTTTAGGATAATGCTCTCTTTTGCTTTCTGACATCGGCAAGGGCTTAGCTGGCCTTTGTGAAGGCAGCTACATGCCAGGCTAACATCTTCAGGAAGCAGTTACTGCTGTCCATTGCCAAACACACTCTACCGAGAGGAGCTAAGTTGTGGCTGCCTTCAATTTGGCATTCGGTGGATTGCTTTCCTTACTGAATGGTAAATGTGGTCTATGGGTGGCACAGGTAATCCTTCAAGATGATAGATAAGAGAGACAGATACATATTTCAAGTAAATCATCACTGCTTGATCTGAATCCATATGCTCTGTTGTCCTACAAAAATAAAATAGCTGCCTTTATGCTGTGTCTAATTCTTGATCCATCAGCAGGTCATTTGGCCTATAATACCATCCAAGAAGTACAATTTTCTTCTCTTTCAGGTCTTTGGTTTTGAAGTAACCTTTGTTTCTATACAGGTGTGGAATAAATCTGTATTCTCTCCCAGCATGGTCCTCACCAACCCACAGGTCAAACAAAATGGTCCCACCTTCTCACTTATTTATTCTTTTTTTATTTCTTTTCAGAGCATCCCAGATAACAGCAGAGAGGAGCTGCTAGACAAATCAGTAGGTTATCACAAAATTTGCAATATATATAGTTCAAAAGAATAAGAGACATGGGTACCTGTTTAAGGCCTCTTGTTATCCTCTGGTATAGCTTTGTGAAAGAATCTCTGACCTTCATAGAACTTGGCATCATTATAGATGATAAGAGACAATGTGCTGAACAGGGTGATGAAACCTATTCAGCCAACCTGACAAGCACAGATGGGCAGGTAAGGCCCTGCACTAACCTCTTCCTCCCTATCACGCATCACTGGGCAGACATGCTTCTTTGTTTTCTTTGAGCAACATAACAGAAGATTTTAAGCTTTGAATTTGCCAAAACTGGTTGGCATTGATAATATCTGTTAATGGTACCTGAATATCCTATCAGTCAATGGATGATAAACACTAGCATTTTAGAGAGCCACTATTATACTGTCCACATTGGCACTGTATACTAGATGCTTTCCTCTGACACGGCCTGATGCTCCATGATGCTGATAAGGAGTTAATTGATAACTCCTTGTCATCAATTATCACTTGATCTCCCTTCTTTAAGAGAGTCTTTTTGGACCACAAGATGGTGTGTAAGAAATGTTATAAAATACTGGTTTTACTGCTAATCTAGCTGTGCTGGCAATAAGATTAACATAACACACTATAAAGATATGTGTTCTATATATAGCCTTAGTAATTGGCAACTATTATAGTAGAGGAAAGAATCTTCTTTAAACCTCAGATACCGGGATGGTGTTTTCTGTTAGTTAGAAGGAACTTCATGACAATTATGAGTGGGTTAGCAATAGGTACAGCAGGCACCATCCAGTGGAAACAGGGCAGCAAAGTGCCAGAGTGACCAGCATTAACATCTGAGAAGTCAAGGGGGATGGTGTCTGGAGGAAAGACCAAGCTAGCCAGATGGCAGATGGTCACCTGGGGGGAAGTGGGGATTAAGACAGTGCCTATTCACTCACCAGTACCAAAGCACTTCAATATTTTTATAACTGGTTAACCTACTGAACCAGATGACTACCTGTGCTGGGTGTGACAACTCAACACTTACGCTAGTTAAATCCAATTCAATGCTTGTTATAAACAACACAATTGCTAATTATAATGGGAATATGGTAAGGGCATATTTTTGCCAAAGACTATTTAATGTCTCTAGGAATTTCAGGCATATTTCAAGGAGATATGGGATTAAACCATTTAAAATATGCATCACATGGCCATATACTTACAACAGCTGCAAAGATGTATTTCTGATCTTTTTCTTGTAAAAAGAGCAGCACATCAGTTAGAAGTAGAGCTAGAATATCTTCAAAGGAAAAACATTACTAGTATTAATGAAGCAAACCACAGTTCAAATGTCATTATTAAATATTCTGATTTCATGCTTGAAATTTAAATAAATTTATCAAAAATAAAAGACTAAGATTTAGTCTAATTATGAAACTTATTAAAAAAACACCTGTATTATGATAGCCAAAGATAATATTTTATAGATAACAAGCTGTGTTTAAATGTGCATGTTCCTGTGTGTAACTATAAGTATTGCTAAACCTCCAGCAAAATTTAATGTAGCTTTCAAAATGGAAGAAAAATATCCAATAAAAAAGAAGGTTCTAACAGAATGGAGCGAGCCTTTACCTTTATATGGAAAAAGGTGCTTAATTAAAAACATTAGAGGGCAGCTTCTGCCCTGAATTATATATACAAATCTGCTATTTTGTTCCATCTAGATCTGAAGAAAGTTTGAGATCCTATATTTCCCTTACAAATTGTTCACAAGAACCTGTCTTCACTATACCACTGAACACTCTGACACAGTTATCAAATTATTTATTCCTGTAAAGGGATACAGAGCAAATGACATGGCGCCATAGGATCTACAGATTGTGGTTAATATTTTAGTTTGGTTAATATTCTAATTGTGGTTAATGTTTAGCTTCAATTTGCTGATCAACAAAGCCCATTTCAGTCATTTGTTGCAACCACCACCAACACTTGATAAACATCCAATGGAAATAACAACCTCTCATTGCTTACCTCAGGAAGTTAAGATGTATTAAAAATGAGGAGAGCAGACCAGTGGTTCTTAACTCTGGCTGTGCAGCAGACTCACCTGAGAGCTTTTAAGCATCCCTATATTTGAGCTTCATCTCCAGAATAATAAACTAAGAATTTCTGGGAGAAGTTGTGAGCATTAGTAAATTTTTTAAGCTCCAGAGGTGACTCAAGTGTGTGGCCGGAGTTGAGAAAGCTTTGATCAGGCAAGGTGCTAGCTACAGAATCAGCCCTTAAGAATCTCAAAAAAAACTGTTTTAGACTCTAACCAGATTAACAGGGTCAAGTTAATGCCCATTAGCAAACAGTAGCACTGAGGAAGCACTTACACTAATGCAAATGTGTCTACTTATGCAGTATATTGCTCAGAAACGAAGATGACGTACAGAGCTGAGTTCTTCCCTCAGTGGGCTGCCAGTCCCAGGCTGGCCTGGCAGACTCCAGGTGGACAGGGGTACTGTTTCACTTTCAACACACCACAGCTGCCAGATTAATACTTCTGTGCCAATTATTAGCAGAATTCTCATTTCCTTTGATTCAAACATCACAAACTTGTGAATTCATAAAATATATATGATGGCTTTTGCTTGGGAGAATGAACTCCCACCAAAGGTTTGTAGCATTGGCCACGTTTGCCTATGGAAGTTCACAACTTGATCCTATAGGAATCCTTCCACTGACCCAGGGTTTGTGTGTGTGCCTGCATCTCTGAGTCACTTTTCTTTTGAAAATCGGTACTCTGTTAAGTAACATGTATGAAAGAAAAGGAAATTGATCTGTTAGAGACACAGTACCTTTGAAACGGCCAGTAGCAGTTTTCCAAAAAACAAAGCCATCATATAACAGAGTCCTTTCTTTGCTTATCAGTGCCTGCTTCCTGAACACATGGCCATTTTTGAGCTTCGTACATGTTTTGTTTTCAATCTTACTTAGGATCTCAAGCCATTTTTGGTTTTTCTCATATTCGTTGACTTTTAAATCCACTGCTGCAATCATGTCCTTAATTAAGCAAAGAGCTTTGCATAAGTCTTTATGTTCTTCAGTTCTTTCTGCATGGGAAAAAGAAAGAAAGAAACACTATACAATAAGCCAGAGTGCTAAAGAAGACAATTTTTTCCCCTATAGTTTTAAATAGTTAAATGTGTAATCCAAATAGCAAAAAATCTCATAACAAAAATATTGGATTAAAATCCAAATACTAGGTCACTCTGCATCCCTCTCCCAAAAAGAAGCGTGAAAATATTTAATTACGAAAGATTTACAAAAGATTTATCAAATGTGCTTCAGCTGAAACGCTGTGCAAATAGGATATCTGATTTCTAGGGACTGGTTTGACCCTTCCCCTAGAACAGGGAATGCGTTATAAATCCTAGCCTAGGCCTTCCTTCCACCTTCCCAGACAGAGGTAATCAAGTAATCCCCAAACCGAGTTTCTCAGAACTTAACTGAGCTGCAGGCCCACATTGCGGTCCTTTCATAAAATGAAGCTGCAGGGTGCCTTGAACGGGCCCCAGACTCTTGCCTTCCTGAATTTGTTCCTCCATAAAAATAATACTCAAAATTATATTTAATAACTGCATTCACATGAAGATGAGTATATTAATAATATATATTAAACATTTTTTGAACTAAAATATTGCACCACAGCACTGTGCCTAGTTAGCCATGCTCATGCCACAAGAGTAAATAATCATCGGTTCCAATTGTTATTCTTTAAAGCACTGTCCACCTGCTCTTATCTCTGGATTATCTTGAGAAAAAACTCTGGAGGAGTTTCTATAACGACCTCTTGAAACTCCAGATGAAACTGTATATACCTATTTCCTATATTTGAAGATAAAAAAAATACCTAGTTAGTGTTTATTGAGGCAAATGGAACTGAAAGGGGAAGTTTCAGGAGGTTAGAAGATACTAGAAGGAGAGGAAAAAAAGATTGGCAGAGAAAATAAAAGGTTCTTTAGAACCCAGAACATGCAGAAGTAGCAGTCAAGTGGATTGAGAACAAGTCTTCCAAATGGTCTAAACATTTCCAGGTTTTAAATGTCTTAAATACATATGTATATGTATATGTATTTGTATATGTATATATGCATGTATGTGTGTATGTGTGTGTGCATATATATACATATACATATATATACATATACATACATATATGTATACATATATATATACATACATATACAATTATATAAAATTATGTGTGTGTGTGTGTGTGTGTGTGTGTATGTATAAAATTTTGTCAGAAAACCTCAAGGAACAGATCCAGATATCCATTTGTAACCAAAAAAAAAAGATTCTTTTTCACTGTCCACGAGAAAATACAGCTCACCACTTTATCTATTGCCCACTAAGCAGCACCACCCCCCAAAGATTTTTCTTTCTAAAGAGCGTATTTTATAAATAGCACAGTACAGAAAATCAAAATTGAGCTACAAGGTGACTCAGGTAAGGCCAAGAAAAGGCTCAATGCCTTTTGACCTTCAGGGACAAACCTGTCTTACAATCACTCAAAGTATAGCACCATCAGCCTCACCTGGGACTCTTGTCAGAAATGCTTACCTTGGGTTCCACCTCAGACCTGCTGAATTGGAATCTTCATGTAAACAAGATCATGTAAACAGGTGAAAGGTAATTCCTAACAGAGTTTGAGAAGCACTGCCATAGTAGAGTCATGTGAACCAATGTTCTCAATAACCAGAGAGAGAGAACTGACCATTGATAAAGTCTGACCCAAGGAGGTAGTGTCCTCAGCCACTATGACAGATGTGCCTGAGGAGCCATATGTCATACTTATCATTTTTGATACACAGTAGGCAATCATCGTCCCTCATTCTACCAGGAAGTTGGCATGGCATGACTCTTGGAGTAGTAGCACTAGCTGACCTAATACAATCTGACAAATTTCAGTATTTTAGGCATTGTATTAAACTTAAGAGAATATGAACATAATACCAACAGAAAGTCTTAATTTTATTTTCATTCTTTTGCTGACAACAAAACTTATGAGGCTTTTCTCCATATATTGTGTTTATAGTTTCTTTTACGTTAAATTATAGGGAGCAATAAAAATGGGATACAAGGGAGAGATGTTACCATTCCTGCCTGAACTTAATTCTAAATGACTGAAAAACAGAAAGTCTATATCATGTATTTCTACTCACCAAGACTCTTCCCCCAAAAAAAGGATGTTAGAAGTTTACTTTTTTAGAGTTGTCATTTAAGATATCTTTGATCATAATAAAGATAATATAAATACAGGAGCATGTTATATATACCAGGCTCTGCAACGGGCACTTTTTGAGACAATCTCACTTAATCTTCACAACAGTTCCATAAGGATTATTATTCTCACTTGGTAGAGGAGAAAACTGAGGCTCATTTAAATAAACTGTGTGGCAGATGCAAGTATATGTGAGGGCAATGCAAGGTTACACAATTCAAAAACCAAGTCCTTGTTAATATAACACACTATCCCCCTCCCCCCCAAAAATAATAAACTCAAGATCAATACATTAGCTCGAGAAACAGGCATTTTTACTTATTCATTCATTGCACTGATATGTGTTTGTTTATTGATTTTCTATTCTGTACTAACCACTGCACTAGGCATTGAAGATCTCCCAAAAATAATAAACTCAAGATCAATACATTAGCTTGAGAAACAGGCATTTTTACTTATTCACTTATTCACTTATTCACACATTGCACTGATATGTGTTTGTTTATCGATTGTCTATTCCGTACTAACCACTGCACTAGGCATCGAAGATCCAGTTATGAACCAGACAGACAAAGGCCATCTAGATCCCTTCAGGAGTTTACATGTGCATTAATAAGCTCCTTAAGGATGCTCAGTGTTACTACTCCCTAGAACTTAATGAATTTGCAGAGTCAAAAATAGCTCCTTCATAAATCATTCTCAATCTAATAATTCACTGCTTACAAAAGTTGACATTTGGTGGTAGGATCAATCGCGTATGTTTCATCAGACTGCTGGGAAGGTAATAGGAAGACAAGGACGAAGAGGTGTTAAGAAGGTCTGGATATAGGGAAACTGTAGAAGGAAAAGGCAGGGTCAAAGTAGGAAAAAGTCTCGTTTGGGCTGCGTGGAGGAATTTAGACTATTGGCCAACCACATTATTAAAGATCCTTAGGCTTTAACAGTTTTTCCGTAATAAAAATCTTTATGAATCAGAGGCCACAAGCATTTATAGCTCTTTACAACACCTTAGGTATGTTTCAAACTAATGAGAGAAGCAAATGTTTGTCCCAGAAGTCATCACTCACCCTTTGTGTACTGCAATATCCTTTCCACCAAGACTGGGTATTTTGTGATGCGCTGAGTGACCAGCAGAATACATTCTGGAATTCCTCGGCGTCGAGCCAAAAGATTACTATTTCGGAGCTTAAAAAATATAGATATACATTTTTATATATACAAATTCTATCTGTATTTTCTTTTTAAGTGTGAATTTAATAACACAAAGAATCTGCAATAGCACAATTCTATTCAAACACAACACAATATGCATTATCATTGATTAAAACTTGATGCATTGTCATTAAATTACATTCTTTGCCATGAATTTCAAAAACCCAACTCTCCAAGATTTCAAGAAGTTTCGAGTTGTTCTGATGTATTTCTAGTTAATTCCAAAAGTGAGCACATTCCAATACTTATAATGGTAAGATTCATGAAAAGCAAAAGTTTTGAAAAATACTCAGAAATCAAAGTTAGATTTTGAGTATAAGTTTGCAGTTAACTATGTTTTTCCAACAGATCTTTCTCTACATTTGTAGAAGTGATATTTATCATATCACTTAAAGTTTCCTCTAATCAGGGCAACTTTTTTCTAAAAGTCTCAAAGTATTCTGTAAGTTTTCAAGTTCTCAATATGCATGTATATGTGAAGAAAAAAAAGGAAGAGAATCTGGTAACATTTTTTTAAATGGTAGATAAAAATTTAGAATCCATGAAACTGTAAAGGACAGATTTCTTTAACAAATAAATTAGATGCCAAAAAGGGTGAAGAAGAACATTAAAATTAAAAGAGACTTAAATTGTGATCCTTGGACAGATCTTGATTTAAGCAATCCAATTTTATGAGATATTCAGAGAAATGAACACTGGCCATCCGTAAAAATATTTTAAAATATTGTTAATTTATCTAAGTGTGATAGTCATTGTATTTTTTTAAAAGAGATGTTGAATTGCTTAGCGATACCTATTACAGATGAAATGATATATGTTATGGATTTGCTTCAAATTAATCTAGTGGGGGTAGAGTGGACTCTGTCTTTATATTTTTACTGTGGTTCTTATTCATAACTTGTCAGGGCATGAAACAGCTTCATAGGATATTACAATGGTTCTCAGAAGCTAGGAGGACATGAATATATAAGATACACAAATATAAGATACAAAAGAAAATGATTTGGTAGAAATACATTACTAACAGAAAAAAAGACTTCCCATCTTTGCCACAAACTTATTACTCCCTTCTCCTTCCCCTGAAAAATGGCACTGCCTGCCTGTGAAACTTGCTTAGATCACATGAGAAATGAGTGTCAACTTTTCCCATGCTGGTTTACTACTTTGTAAGAGTTTTAAAATACTTGCCTTAATAAAATTCTGAAACTTTTTATTCTGCTGGAGTTCTTTAAAGAGGCTAACAGCTTCTTTGTGATGGCTACAGAATTCTCCGTATATTTTCTTCATTTTATTTGCATTTTCTTCTGAAAACTGAGAATAACATTTCAATGATGGTTTACAAATTTAGTCTGTTCTAAACATTAAAAAGAAAATGTAATTTTCACATATTTCAATACATTCGTTACAAATATAGAATAAACATCATGGTTTCCAAAGCTCAATGCTGATGAGCAAATGTTAAAATAATTGTCTATTTATTAATCTACAAGTAGACAACAATGTTGGCATATTCTGTTTGTCTATTAATGGACCTGCTTCTTACTAATATTAGAAATGTTTTATGAGAGCAGTTCATATTACTTTTCTGTACTTTTTATGGCATATGAACAAATAAACTATTTACACCAAAAAAAAAAGATAAACGTCATGGAATTTCTGAACAAAATCACTTTTCTTCTCCAAACACTTTTAAAATTAAAGTAAAAGGAAGTAGTCAAGAGGTTAAGGGAAGAAAGACATCAACCTAATGTCATTATATTATATTGAACTAATTCAATTATCAAATAGCCAAATGAAAAACATTGAATATATTTTATTCCTTTTTTGGTGTTTGTGCAGCTTTGCCATTTCAATTTATAGTTTAATACTTTTAAAGATCGAAGGGTTATGTGGGAACATTTGGGGGTCCTCAGTAAGGGTCCTTTCACTGGTCGGCATTTACACTGGCTAACTGATCATGTCCATGGACTCTACCCTCCGTTGGGAATTTAATTTTTGTCAGCATGCCACAAATGGATCAAGAGGCAGGTAATCATTAGCCAAGATAAAAGAGAGAGATGCATAACCAGGATGCCAATTTATTAACTGAGAGCAGCAGAGATGTGAAATAGATATTTCAAAAAGCTTGACCTGTAGAAAAATCTCTTGTCTTCTAGGCATGAACCTTAGGGATTTAATGATAATAGATCTGCCTCCCTCCTCCTAAAATGAGCCAGTGTTTGTCTTGAAGATGTTGGTAAGACTATCATGGGCCCACTGAGGGAGCCACATAATTGGGGAGCCAACACAATAAGAAGTCTAAGTAGAATTTTCATAAAGGGATTTATTTACGGCTGTGACTCTTAGTGGAAGTAGCAGTAGTGCCAGGGATGATCCAGCCAAGTCCTGTGACCCACGGGGGATCCAGTCACTGGCTGTGAAAAGCTCTCAGCCATCAGTCATACAAACCAACATCAAATAAAAGAAAACCAACCCAAACCACCTGTCAATTGGCATAAAATCGATTTCCGTTCTCCGCAGACTTTTAACACTGCAGAGAATCTGTAAACCTTTAGGTTTTTGAGGTTAGGGCTTTTAAACCTTTCTTACCTGTTGTACTAGAATATCTCCAATTCGGTTGATGATGAAATTCCTGTCATTATCAGCACAGGATTCCTGTCTTCGCTCCTTCATGCTATAGAAGAAATGCCTATGAATTTCAAGTAACTCGTCTAAACAAGGGAAGATTTTATCCACAGTGCTGTGGTCAAGCTGTAGCTCCTCTTTCATCCCTTTCCTGAAGATCTCAGACATGATGAACAAGGTCTGGATGTGATGCATTTCTGTTTGCATTAGCTCTGAAACGTGTGAGCAAAAATAAGCTTTAAAAACCAATATCCCGACTGCCTTAAGTTAGTAGCTAACTCCAGGTTACACAAATAAAAAAGAAGGAATGCTTAGAAATAACATTCTTCCACTATAAAAGTCAGCATCAATTAAACATTTAAGGTAAGCTCAAATTATTAATCTATATTTTCTTTTTCCAGATAAGAGGATACATATAAGTCAAGTCCAATATATAACAATTTGTTGTATCTGAAACTCATAAAGCCAGCACCTTTAGGTAACTTCAGCTAAGAACCAGGTGTTATTCTCTCCAGAATGCTGTGTAAAATATAATTTTCCCACTTTTCTTTTTCTTTTTTTATCTTTTTTTTGTATTTAGTAGGAGCACAATTAATTTGGTGAATTAAATTGAATTAATTTATTCCTGGATCTGTTTCCAAAATTCTACTTTCTCCAAGGGAAAATAATGCATAATGATCAAGGGACATCATCAAGAAAGTGAAAAACAAACCATAGAATGGGAGAAAATATTTGCAAATCAGACATCTGATAAGGGACTTGTGTCCAGAATATATAAAGAACTCCTATAACTCAAAAAAAAAAAAAAAAAAAAACCCACTTCATGAATAAGCAAAAGATTTGAATAGATGTTTTTTTCCAAAGAGATGTAAAAATGGCCAATAAGCATATGAAAAGGTGCTCAAAATCACTAGCCATCAGGGAAATGCAAATCGAAACCAAAGTGAGACACCACTTCATATATACTAGGATAACTGTAATAAAAAAGATGGACAATAAAGAAGTGTTGGTAAAGATGTGAGAAAATCAGAATCCTCATACATTGCTGATAGGAATGTAAAATAGTACAGTTGCTTTGGAAAATAGCCAGGCGTTTCCTCAAAAGGTTAAACATAAAGTCACCATATGACCTGAAAAGTGGAAACAACCCAAAATATCCATCAACTGATGATTAGATGAACAGAATGTGGTGTATTTACACAATGCGGTATTATTCAGCCATACAAAGGAATAGAGACTGATATATATAATACGACATGAATAAATCTTGAAAACATGATGTTAACTGAAAGAAACCAGTGATAAAATATCACAAATTGTACAATTCCACTTATGCAAAATGTCCAGAATAGGCAAATCCACAGAGACAGAAAGTAGATTAGTAGTTGCTGGGGGCTAAGTGGGAGGGGGAAATGGGGAATGATGGACTGCTCATGGGTGCAGGGTTTTCTTCCTGGACTGATGAAAATGCTCTGGAATTAGTAGTTGATGGTTGCACAACCTTGTGAATATACTAAAAACCATTAGATTCACTGTAAAGGGATAAATTTTATGGTATGTGAATTAAATCTCAATGTTAAAAATGCATCATGAGAGACAATAATTCACAATTTTGGGAGCACAGGAAGTTCTAGATTAGTATTTCCAAACTCCCATGTTTTGAGAAAGAATCTAAAACATTAGCCATAGGAGTAAACAAATCCACATGTAGCTTTGTTATTTTATCATAAAAAAAACTCTCCTTAGTTGGGAACCCACTAACTTTTAATTATTGTTGCTCATGTTCTATTGCCCACTCTGTACTAAACACATACCCATATCATTTCATTTACTCTTCTAATCCATTGATCCATTATGACCAAAAAAATAGGAATGGTTTCCCTCATCTTTTGAAGAGAGACATGAAGAAGGTGAAAAATTTTCTCCAGAACCCAAGCTTTTCTGACACAAAAGGCCATGCTGTGAACTACACTACATGATAATTCATCCCAAATGGGGTTAGGTTATTTTTAATATATGAAATTGAGAAATAAATTAAGAAAAATTATAGTACAATATAAATTGCCTGAGAAATACTAAAGGAGACAGCATCTTCCTTTCCAAAGTCCTGTCAGTACAGCTGTGGACAGATTTCAAAGCGTGCTTACACATCGTCTCACCTGACCAGCATAACCAACACGTAACCCAGGTGAGAAGGGGTCTTCATTGCCAATGGACTTTTTTGGTTCACATTTGAGTATAGGCATACCTAATTTTATTGTGCTTTGCTTTATTTTCCTTCACAGATGTTGCGTTTTATGCAAATTGAAGTCAAGACCCTCCACCAGCAAAAGGATTACAACTCTCTTTATTACAATACTCACTTTATGATGGTGGCATGAACCCAAACCTGAAATACCGCTAAGGTCTGCACATACACAGGATCAGTGAAAACTAAGAGCTAGTCTCATCTTTCAAATAAGGTATCTTTTTGGAACCACTTTTTAGAATCTACTTTGTACTTGAAAATTTTCTGAACTTCATTTTTTCCTAACTAGTATATAATCTAACGTCCCCTAATTCAGACTGCCTCCACCCCAAAGGGCATGAAATAATAAAATGTCAGAGAGGTGAACTCCATAGTCAGGACTGCAGCACATAGTCACACATTGCCCTAACCCAGGTGTCGCCAGTCCCATTGCATTCCGTATGAATGGCACCACCCTGGTGCGTGTGAGCAGCCTGTAGGGTCATATACGCAGCAGTCTTGTTGATGCTACATTTAAATATGTGATTAAATTTTATTGTGATTAAAATTTTACTCTGATTTAAAATTTACATTAAATTTTACTGTGATTCTTATAATAGCAGGGGTAAAGGCCATGCATAAGTAAACTTGAAAAGGGTATGAGAAATAAAATTTGCTTTGTACCAGGTACATATAATGCCTCATAACATTTTAAACCTGAGTATCATTATTTCCCATTTCACAGATGGAGAAATTGAAGTCTAGATGAGTTAACGATTTGTCTGAGATCAAGTAACTAGAAAATAACAGAAGTTGGATTTAAACCCAGGTTGGAATGGTTTCAAATGCCAGGCTCTTTCCTCTATACCACAATGTTTCACCCTAAGGATCATATCTAAAAAGCTTACCAAAAATGACATCCTGTCTTTTGATGACATCCTTCTCCTGCCTACTACAAAATGAGGGGTCCACCACAAGACTCCAAGATTCTGCTTCAAACTCCTGGGCATCATTGCTGAGGTCACTCCACAGAGAAGAGTCCACGACATCTAATGTGTTTTTAGAAAAAGAAAAGTCGAGAGTAGAATAACAGGCGTAACACAGACAGACCTTCACAAGTATCCATATTTATGGATTCATCACACTAAATAAAAATGCTATGAACACAGAAACAACTAAGCCAAAATACTGTTGATATGGAGTTGAAATATATGAAAAATAAACTGGTGAAATGGTACAAATCGAGACTCCTCTCATGAAAGCAAAGAAGACTTAGATGTTAACACAGTGATTATGCATATGCCAAAAAAAGAGACATTTGAAGATTCTTTTGTTTGTTTTGGCTTTCTCTATTTTGGTTTTACTTTTAGTAACCTTCAGAGTCCACAATGTACTTACAGAATCATGAACACTAACTTCTTTTGCTCCAGGTTATTTTGCACTGTTTGCTCAAATCTAAATTTTGTACTTGTCCACTCGTTTTGCTCTGTACTTGGCTTGCTGTCCTTATTATAAACGTGAAGCAGGGTGTAAAGACTCGAGTCACATCTGAGTACAGATTTTTCTGACAGAATTTGACATCTCTCTCTCTCTATCTCTCTCTCTCTCTCTTTCTCTCCCCGATTCCCTCTCACTCTTCCTCTCTCTTCCTCTCTCTCTTTAGGAAAACTAAACTCTATTTGTCCAACTAGCACCCCTGAGAGAGATTCTAATTCATGCAGTAAAGATGACATGAAAAGGTTGCAGACTAAGCTTAAAACGCCTGCAGCTGACTTCTACAACTCAGGAGAAAAAAATATTAATAAGCTGAGTAAAACATAGGCTAAGATTTGATTAGACATTTCTCCAAAGACATACAAATGCTCAACATCACAAATCATCATGGAAATGCAAATCAAAACCACAATGAGACACTACCTCACACCTGTCAGGATGGCTATTATAAAAAAAAAAGATAAGTGCTGACGAAAGTGTGGAGGTAATGGAGCCCTTGTGCACTATTGATGGGAATATAACTTGGTGCAGCGACTATGGAAAACAGTATAGAGAGTCCTCAGAAAATTAAAAAGTATAACTACCATATGATCCAGTAATCCTACGTCTGGGTATTTATTCAAAAGAATTAAAAATCATAATCTTGAATACATATATATGCACATATGTTTATTGCAACGCTATTTACAATAGCCAAGATCTGGACGCAACCTAAGTGCCCACTGACAGTTGAATGGATAAAGAAGAGGTGGAGTCTCTCTCTCTATCTCTCTCTCTCTCTCTTTCTCTCCCCGATTCCCTCTCACTCTTCCTCTCTCCTTCCTTCTCTCTTTAGGAAAACTAAACTCTATTTGTCCAACTAGCACCCCTGAGAGAGATTCTAATTCATGCAGTAAAGATGACATGAAAAGGGGTTAATATCCAAAATTATAAAGAAACAATTCAATTTAAAAAACAGGCAAAGGGCCTGAATAGACATTTCTCCACAGAGGATATACAGATGGCTAATAGACACATGAAAAGATGCTCAATGTCACTGATTATCAGAGAAATGCAAATTAAAGCCACAATGAGTTATCACTTCACAGCTGTCAGAATGGATTTTATCAATAAATCAATAAACAATAAGCGTTGGTAAAGATGGGGAGAAAAGGGAACCCTTGTGCATTGTTGGTGATATTGCAAATTGGTGCAGCCACTATGGAAAACAGTTTGAAGGTTCCTTAAAAAGTAAAAATAGAACTACTTTATGACCTACCACTTCCATTTCTGGGTATTTATCTGAAGAAATCCAAAACACTAATTCAAAAAATATATGAACACCTATGTTTATTGCAACGCTATTTACAATAGCCAAGATCTGGACGCAACCTAAGTGCCCACTGACAGTTGAATGGATAAAGAAGAGGTGGAGATATATATATATATGTATGTATGTATGTATATATGTATATGTATTTGTATATGTATATGTATGTATGAATGTATGTATGTATAATCTCACACATACAGTGGAATATTACTCGGACAGAGAAAAGAATGAAATCTCACCATTTGTACCAACAGGGATGGACCCATAGGGTATTATGCTAAGTGAAACAAGTCAGAGAAAGAAAAATACCATATGATTTCACATATATGTAGAATCTAAAAAATAAACAAAACAGACACAATCACAAAGAGAACAAATTGATGGTTGCCAGATGAGAGGGTATTTGGGGATGCTGTGTAAATGGCAAAAGGGTATCACTTCACAGCTGTCAGAATGGATTTTATCAATAAATCAATAAACAATAAGCGTTGGTAAAGATGGGGAGAAAAGGGAACCCTTGTGCATTGTTGGTGATATTGCAAACTGGTGCAGCCACTATGGAAAACAGTTTGAAGGTTCCTTAAAAAGTAAAAATAGAACTACTTTATAGTGCCAGGTGAGTACTAGACTAATAGAGGGGATCGCTTTGTAAATTATAAACATGTCTAACCACTGTGCTGTACACCTAAAACTAATATAATATTGGATGCCAACTATAATTAAAAATAAAAAAATGAATGTTTAAGCATTTTAAAGAAAATAAAAATCAACATGCAAAAAAAAAAAAAAAAGATGACATGACAGTTAACTTAAAGGCTTAAGTTTAAAATAAAAGAAACAGATTCCTGCAGCAGAGTCCACTCCTTCCTTTTGTCACTTCTCTCCTTCCACTTGGTTTTCTTTCATTTATTGCTACAACTTGAATACAGTAAGTAAGCCTTCAGATTAAGTTCTATGCTACAAAATATGCTCTTTTGAAAAAACGCTTTTATTTCCCAACAAGTAGGAGGCAACAGATGGGGATAAAGATCCCAGAGTTCCAAAAAAGTCAGTCTTAACTAACTGAAGGATATATATTTTAATGTATAATTTTATTTCAATTTATTAACAGTTGTAAAACTTTTAAAAACAACAAACATACAATGTATATCCTTATCTTCATTACGTTTATGATACATGTCCGTTTAAAAAATACATCATATTTCCTTGGTCACTCTATGGAGTCTACTTTAGGGCTAAATTTTCTTTTTATTTTTTTTACCAGAAGAACCCATACCAAAGAGACATCATGGAACATAATTTTTTTAAAAAGAAAAAAGAACATGTTTTAATCTTACATCCTTCAGAAAATATTCTTTATGGCGAATGCTCATGGAAACACAAGTAAATGCAAATGCATCTTCTTCTCACCTTCCATTAAGAAAGAATCTGTGGAGGGGGATGAGCCCATGGACTGTAACAGCTCATCGGAATGAGACCTGCATCTCCAGGTGTTTCCGTCACTCTCGGCCTCCAAGGATGTCCCCGACCTCCTGAAGGTGGAGGGAGGGAGAAGACTTAGTTCCAGCAGAGGCTCTGAGACATGAAGATGTAAAACCACAGGGTGCCTTACCTGTCCAAGGTGGTGCCTGGAACACTTCTGGACAATGGATGGACCTGCCCTGCAGTTTCCTTCCTCCCGGTCGGCAATCCGATAGGCATGGAGGAAGAAGGGTGCAAGGAGAGACCAGGCAGTGGGACGTCTCGAAATGAAGAACCTAGAAATCAGAATGGATGCTTCATGTGTTTTCATAGAGGGCAGTAATTACAAGTAAAGGTAGTCACTTAAAAGCCAGAAAGCTAAACAGTCGAGAGTGGCTGCTTCTAATATATCACATGCTTAGCCTTGAAATCAGCCTCCCTGCCACGTCCCAACACCTGCTTCAAATGTCCCTTTGATTTCACACCCTCCTGATTGCCAGGCTGCAGGCCTGCTTCAGCATATCTACTGAGAGACTGAGGGTAGCTGGGATCACACAAACAAACAAGAAAATGGAATGGGGAAACACTGGGACAGCTTTCTTATAAACCACTGCTTATACTCCTTAGAGCCAGCTTTAAATAGATGCAAGGTGTTATTAGCACTATTACTAGAATGCATATTGTGTGTATAAACAAACATAGACACACACAGAGCATGTCAGTAGATTGGAATGATACTGACGAGTCTGTTTCTTTATGGTATGTGAATTTCAGGCAAATCAAACCTTTGAACCAAGCTGGGCTGTTCTCTCTCACATACTGAAAACTAAATGGTGCTTCAGTATCTTTCTGGTCAGTTTTACATCTGATGTATAGTATAAATTTTTCAGTCCCGTAATATTATAGCTGTAGCTATTTCACCTTCTCTAACAAAAGGGGGGAAATACTTGCATGAAACTCCAGCATATTACAAAGAATTTTATACATATATGATTTAATTTTATTCTTATGATCCCCAAGTAAAGAGGAGGAATAGATAGTATTTTATCAATTCTAAGATGCTTTTTGTTTTCACACTTAACCTCATGAAACTGAGAAGCACCTTACGACTGATGTCAAAAGGACTTCTGGTGTCACAGCAAGAGAATAAATGATGTCACAGTTGTTACTGTCTGCACTAGCCCAACCTTCTATAATATCACAATAAATTGCATGTCACCATGAATCTGCATACTTTATTATCTCTGATTCAAATGGTTTTAAAAACACTGGTTACACTTTGTTATAGCATTGAAATGACCACAAACTTAAAATGCCTGCCACATAGCCAGCAATGAAATTTTGAAGAAGAAAAAATGGCAAACTCTCTCACGACAAATGAAAAGCTTTTCAAACATAGATGATGGCATCACTGGTTCTTGCATGCGATGTAAAGAACTGTCAAAGGCTACCAGTTACAGTCAAGAGACATCGTTTAAACTTCAGCCTTATATAGTTCAAGAAAAAACAGAAGCACCAAGATTAACAATATGCAAAAAAAAACCAAAAAACCTTAGGTATGCTTTAAAATCTCTCTCTCATCCTAAAGAAGCTGATGAGACCAGAGCCTCAAGCATAGCCAATGAAAGTACTAAGTTACTATGGTAATGGACAATAGGAAATGATAAGAATTTATAGATTCCAAATTTAAAGTTTTGTCCTAAACTTTATGATTCCTAAGAAGTATATGGTGTGTATTTGTGTAGATAAATATGTGCTACTGCTAAGAAAACATAAAATTATGCACATTTAATGGAGTGTTTCTCTTTTCCCCAAAAAAGGTTATTAAATCACTAGAGCATGTTACACTAGATCACATCTTAGAAATGAGGCAATATCATAATACTTCCTCCATATGGTCCTCCCTAATACAAAAGATCATAAAGTATATATGGCACAAAGGGTATTAGGCTGTCATAGAAGTTTATGCCATTCTTTGTATAACTAAAAATTATGGCAAGCACATGTTATGAAAGAAGAAATAATTAGGCAAATGAGAAAACAAAAGGAGGGAGTATTTCACATTGAAGACTGTGTGGCATGTATAAAATTGAAAACGTTCCTATTTTCCACATCACTTACTTCCAAGGATGGTCTGCGGTTTGTTCTTGTTGTATTTCTCTTGGAATTTCTGGTTAAAAAAAAAAAAAAAAAAACATTATAAACACATTAAGACCAGAGCCCCGTTGGACTATAAGAATGTCCACACAGAACACAGAACAGGATTCTTATCTATACCATTTTTGTTGTTTTTAATTTCAGAAAAGAAGAATTCAAAGCAAATGCAACAAAGAGAAAAACGTTATGATAATGAGATGTGCAAGTTATAATGAAGGTGTGTCTCGTGAACACAGGTCTCATGAACACAGGTCTCATGAATATCCCAGCTTTATTAAAAGCCTAGGGGAACCAGAAATCTCCAGCTCAAGTGTCCAGACTCAGGATGAAAGGGGAGTTCTGATCAGCACTGCCTTTCTCCTCCCTGTTTCTTTCTATATCTGGCTATTCCCCCTGCCTAAAGGATACAACGACTTAGAGCACTGAAACATTACCCTCAACTCTGTGACCTGACACGGCATGTGTTCGAGTTAACATGGAGACTGGGGACTCCAAGTTTCCCTCTGCAGGATCTTGGTGCTTGTTACTCACATGCATTTCTGACATGACTTTACAGTGGGGAAGAAAGGAATAGAAAGATAGATGCTTCCATCTACAGAGGCCCACCCCCAAATACAGGGAACATTCTTCTAGTCCCATGGGCCTCAGAGTATGGTCCTAGGACCAGCAACATCCCCTGAGAACTCGTTAGAAATGCAAATTCTCAGGCCCTACCGAGACCAACTGAATCGGAAATTCAGGGAGTGGGGCCCAGAAATCTGTATTTTAACAGGTCCTGCAGGTGATTCTAATGTTTGCTGATGTTTGAGAATTACTGCTCTAGACTTCACTTACATGTGCTCAGGATTTGCACTGGTAAACCAAGCAGGTTCCGACAGAAAGACTAAGCCGCCCAAACCTCCTAACGCAGGTGGCCAGACTGGTGATTTCTCTCTAGTTCTGAGAGTACGTAGTTAAGGGAATAATTATACACTGAGAACATGTGTTATTTTATTACTACAATGATCACTTTAGAAACAAATCTAAACAGTAATAAAAGAGTAAAAACCTAAACAGATAATATGAAGCAACCAAGCTCGATACAAACATTTGTACTATTCACAAATGACAGAGATTACCTTGGCACATGGAGGTGCAGCATCTTTACAACCCTTATGTACATTTGCATTACAGTCTGAAACAAAGGGAGAAGATAGAAAAGCGTCCATCTCATTTAAGTCAATCTGAAATGAACAAGACTACAACATGCTTCTACTGGTCATTATAAAAATAATACATCCACATTAAAAATATTTTAAAAACTTAAAAACAAATATTTAAATCACATGTAGTCCCACCACTCAAGCACAAGCACACTATTAATATTCTAATTCCCTTGGAAATATTGTTCCTTTTTATGTAAGGTCTTATCAATTACGAAACCTGGAGTTATGTACCACATACACTTCTGTGTCTGCCTGAGAACTCATTTACTACTGTATGCCCTACGTTGTAAAGGATTTCTGATATCTGGCTGATATCAACTACCCATTCCCACATCATGTAAAATGCCTATGAAAATGGAAAGGATGAAAAACTCACAATCCTGGGGGGCGGGGGGTAAAAATATTGTCCAGCTCCAACAGGAATTTCTACTAACTAGAGATAACCAAATTAAAAGAGAGAAGTCAGTGGCTTGCTTGTGTTTTACTTCACGAAACGATGTGGCCTCATCTCACTGAAAGAAGTAAGGGAACGCTTTGCCTGCCCCTTCCTGCTCACTGCCTCCGAGATTCAACTTGTCACCACAGAAAACTGCCCCTACGTGGGGACTGCTTTCTGTCAGGCTGCTGTCTCCTTGCCTCTCTCCCCTTCCACACCCCCCACCATGACCGCCCTGTCCCACCCATCCCCATGCTGTGTGTAGATGGAGAAGCCTGTGGCTTACCAGAAACTTCATTAGAAAGAATTCTTCCAGAGGGGTGGAAGGTCCCATTTAAGTCCACCAAAGTCACGCTGGAAAAGTGTCCATCACCCCCTGAGACCTGTGTAGGAAGTTGAGCCCAACCTTCCTCCCGCTGTAGGTCTGCAAAGGCATTTTAGCCAGCACCTCGATGGCCAATGAGCGGAACCCAGACTGACTCACAAACTAGTCCTGCTGACACACATTGGAATCCAATGGCTCATTCCACATTCCAGAAGAAGCAAATGAAAAGGGGGGAAAAGCCACGTGCTACCACTGAACTGAAAGCGCAGACAGAGTGCGCTATAGAGTATTATTAAACCCAGAAAAAGAAAAGTGTAGGTGCTTGAAATGTAGTCTAAGAGACACAAAATAGATATAAAATAGGATCGAAAGGCCATGAAGGGAGAACGAGATGTGACAACAGGCCCAAAGGACGACAGGAAAATGGAGCTTTGTGAGATGAGAAAGGACTGCAACAGAGGGAACAGGACGAGAGCAGAACTTAAACCAAAGTGAGAAAAATCAGTGTGACAAAAATATCAAAGCAGCGCTTTGAAATTAAACTTGAAAGATTTCCTCCAGAATGTGGAGAAAATAAGGGCATAATTATAAAAATAGAAGATGTCATACAAAAAAGACAGATCACCGAGATCACACTTCTCTAAGGAAGAAATCAGAAAAATCAGATCAGAAGCTATAGTCAAAGCGATAACTGATAAAAACGTTTTCAAAGTTAAAAAAGAACCAAAAAAGGCAAATCAAGAGAACCTCACTGTTTCCTAGGAAAGGAAATTAAATGACACCTATTCTATAGAATCATCCTGACAATGTCCATATGATTAAAAGATTAAAAGTCCCCAAGCAGAAAAAGCAGACAAAGCAGGTTAATAATGAAGGAATAAAGACAGCAGGCCCCTGACTTTTCTACTAGGATATTAAATGCCCAGATAGAATGGACCAGTGTTGACAGAGTATTCAGGGGAAAACATGTGGTCTAAGATTTTAGCCAGATAAATTGCTTTTCTTGTGTGAAAGAAGCAAAAATATACCTTTAGAGACGCAAGGTTTCAGAAAACAGATCACTCCAATAAACTTCTTTAAAAAAATTACCTGAAATCCTAGTCTAGCCTATTAAAAGCAAAATCAAAATTAAGGGTTCGGGAATAGGTCAGATTTTAAAAAGTCAAGGAGCAAAAGTAAGCACCGAAACCAGTTAAACAAAGAATCATTTCTAAAAAATTGTAAGTAGAGACACAGAATTGAATACAAATATCAAGTTATGCTTGAAATACAAAATTATTTTTGAAAGATTATACATACAATACATAAATAATAATTTAATGATGATTTTAGCATACTAGAGGATGGGGGGAAAGGAAAATAAAAGGGAAATAAACAAATATTCAATTATAAGCCTTACACAGCCTTGAAGTTATTATTAATAGATAAAAGAGCCTATCATCTTGCCAAAACCCTAAAGAAGATAAAAGAAAACAGCACATGGTGTAAATAGCTAAACCGGACATCAAGGAAAACAGCATAGAACTGTAAAAGACAGTTGGTAGCTATCGAATTAAATGTAAATAAGAAAAAAATCATTATAAAACAAAATTACATTAGAGTATCTATCCCTAAATTACAGACATATACCCCACATCAAAAACACAGTATTAGTTAAGGGAAATACAAAGAAAAGGAAAGAGGAATATTAATTTGAAACCAAGTAAAATTCAATGCAAAATGCATTTAATGGCATTAAAAGGGTAATTTTATGTTGATAAAAGTAAAATCTACCAGAAAGGTATGAGTTGTGAATCTCAGGGTACTAGATAATATAACACCAAAATATAAACAGTGAAATCTATTTCTAAGAAAAAATTTATATAGATATAATTTTTGTGAAAAACTAGCAACTCGGATTTTAACAAAGAAAAATATGGACACCAGGATTTTGAATATTTACATCATGTTTTGTTTCATGTTTTTAAAATTAGAAATATTAACTTTTGCAATTAAAAACAAAAATACACCAATGAAACAAGATTATTTCCTCAAATCAGCGGAGATTGAGCATGTCATATTCTCTTATCCAATGTAAAAAATTTAATGGTAACAGTGAAATTTAAACTCTAACATTCTCCTACCCCCCAAACTGTAAATCTTAAAACTTCTAAAACATTGAGGGTTAAAGAGGAAGTCAAATGTATATTCATACTTAGAATTTAATCTAAGGCAGTAATCAAAGATGTGGACAGTGATATACGCTAAAGAATTCTCATTGCGACATCATGTTGTGAAAAACTCGGAAATATCTTAAATGTACAATAAGGGATGACTAAACACATCTGATAGCACCAGGGCCGAAGTGGAAAATAACATAGAACTGCTCAGAGGGAGCAGACAGGGAGCCTGACACACCTGAAGAGCATGGGCTTAGTCCAGTAAACGAAAGAGAAGTCCTTACGTGTATGTGGGCTGATGAAAGTAGGGGTTTACAAAGATAAATGTGTCAAATATATTCAGAATAAATTGTTAAGTGAAAATACCTAGAGAGGGACACTAGTACAATCCACTCTTAGTAATCCAGAAGGTGGATGACAGCATCCCAAAGTGGTCACAGTGAGTAACAACCACATTGACTCAGGGGACTCAAGGGAAGAGGCGTCAATGTGCTTGTGGCCTGAGCTTGTACCAATGACGCAGCAGGGAGGACGACCTTTTGTATGCAGATTTTTTAGGTCGGTTTTAGCCACACTGGTATGGGAGACATGAAATCTTTGCGTGGTGATGCCTACAAATAGGATTACTCTGAGCCAGTGTGACCAGGACAGTCTTCATTTATTATCCCCGTAGTTCTTCCATATTCTCAAAAGCGGCCACGAATTACATGGGGGCTCAGCCTCTCTAGGCAACTGGAAATTTGGAAGTAGAAAGTAAGAGATAAAGGCATTAATCTGGGAAGAATGGGTCTAAATACAGTATTTTAGAACATAATATTGGATGACCATACTCAGAAGCAAAAAGGGGAAAACAACAAATGTCAGAGAACTGAGTTTGGAGGGCACTCGGGTAGGAAAAAGGAGATAGTTCAAGTGCTGACACAGAAGAGCAGTGTGCCATGGGAGAGGGAATATTTACTTAAATGAATAATGAACAAAGACTCTCAACTAAAAAGTGATGCTACGTTTCCGTCAAAATCAGGACTTCTGTTAAGTAGTGAGGACAGAGGCCAAAATCCAGATGGTTAAGGAAGAAGTGGCAGGGGTGGACATTAGAGCGGTGAGAGGGGATCACCCAACTTGGGGAATTTGTCTTAAAATGAGGGGAGAGAAAGGTCATGGATGTGGCTGTGGGTACAACCACAGGGACCCGGCCTTGTGAACAAGGGTGGAGCAACAACTTATGAAACATATGCCATCACACATATAAACTGACTGATGACATGTAAGCAAGCCAGAAACAATTCATAAACAATACTTACAGCAAATTTCTAAAAGCCTAGCCAATCAAATCACATCTGAACTGCTTGATGCTATTTCAAATCCCATAAAAGAAAGAAGGCAAGTCTTTAAGGAAAGGAAAGTTCAAGCATGCATAGAGTTGGCGTTATTAGAGACAGTGTCAACTGTGAGAAGCCAATGCGACCTGCCTTTAATGCCATGAGCAGATTGTATTTCCATCAGATGTACGACTGCCAATACACTTCAATTTTTAATATAATTATCTTCTAGGAACATAAGAGGAACTTTACATAAAACCATCCCGGCTCTTCGCCTCCCTTAGTGCTCCCATCCCACCCCCAAACAGCCCCCTAATTCTGGCCACCAACAAATATCATAAAATGTAATTCACGTGCCTGTGCCTGAATTCTTTTGCTCTGAATTCTTTCACTCCACGAATACTTACTATGCCCTTACTATGCACATTGTTCTAGGCACTGTGGATATAGCAGAGAACAAAATCAAGAGACAAAAATCCAACCCTCACAGAATTCATATGCTGGTGAAGGAGACAGACAGTAAAACGAATATATAAAGCATGTAATAAGTTAATGGTGTTAAATGTCATAGGGGGTGGGGAAAGGATGAGAGGGCGAAAGAATGAGCTAAGCATAGGATGGCCTGGAAAGGCCTGACCAAGAAGGTGTTGCCTGAACAGACCTGAAGGAGGTGAGTGAGGGGCAGTCCACACAGCCATCTGAGGGGAAAGCACTGCAGGTGGAAGGAACAGCCAGGGAAGGCCCCGGGCATGAGGGCAGGAGCAAGCCTACATGTTGTAAGAATAGCAAAGATGCCCACGCGACTGGAGCAGAGGGAGCGAGGGGGAGTGGAGAAGATGACAGGACAGCACGCAGGGAATTTGCAGCCTCGGGCAGGGTGTTTGGCTTTCACTCTGCGGGATGACAGGAAGCCACTGGAGGATTTGGAACACAGGGATATATGCCTTACCAAGCTCGCTCTGGCTTATGTTTTGAGAACAGACTTTTAGGAGGTAAAAGTGCAGGGAAACCAGTTAGGAACTACTGAAGTGTTGGCTTTAGATCGGGGTATTGACAGTGGCAGCGGTGAGAAGTGGCTGGCTTTCATATGTATTTTCGAGATAGAGTCAAAAGGATAGCTGAAGAATTGGATGTGGAGGGGAGAGAGAGGAGAGAAAGATAATTAAAAGAAAAATAGGAAGAATATCATTTGCTTGTTTAGAGCCTGAGTTGTAAATTCCTCCTCTGTGCTGATGAGGAGACAGAATTTATGATCTAGGAAATTGAATCAGTGGTCTCCATATCTTTATACTACAGCATTTTCAGTAAACATTTTTAGTTTACATTTATATTTAAGTTATTGTATTAGTTTGCTAGGGCTGCCATATCAAAGTACCATGGACTAGGTGCCTTAAACAACAGAAATTTATTTTCTTATAGTTCTGTAGTCTGGAAGTCCAGATCAAGGTGTTGTTATGGATGGTTTCTTGTGACGGTCAGCTCATAGACAGGGCCAGAGGGGAAGGGTGGAGTTCTGTTTTGGACACGTAACAGTTGAGAAGTTGTCTAGATACCCAAGGGAAGACGTCAAGTTGGAGGTGAGGTACAAGTCTGGGTTCTGGGAGACCATCACTCGTGGACAGAAAGTACTGACTAACATCATAGGTCCTGGCTTGGTAAGTTGTTAAATCATATGTGTAGCATTAAAAGAAAAATCTAGGTGACACTATGCTTATCAATGGCCCTCTTCTCAGGGGTCTTACTATCTGGGGAGGCAAAGCACAAAGCAACACACACGAGCCCGGATAACTTACTGGAACACTGGAACGACTCTTTCCAGAGGAGCGTTTTATCACAAACCAAACACTGTAAAACCCCAGAGAACGTTCCAGGAACAAACTGATGTCGACTCAGTTTCTCTTTGTCCTTGGCATCCTTGCTTTTTGTCTTCAGACAGCGCAGCAGCAGCAAAGTGTGGAAAAATGAGAAAAGAGAAATACTGAGAGCCAACCTTCCCAGAGAAGTCATACAAACAAAGTCTCTACATTTTCTATCAGAATATAAGGAATGCACATCCAGGAAGACAATGATGCCAAGTGTAATATTACCCGGATGTAGTTGTCTTAGTATGATAATGACTTGGACAATGCTCCATAAGAAATGTAGAGGTTTTCGAATATGTGTGTATAAAATCTGAGGTAAGTGATTTTAAAGGGAAAGTGGAAACTATACTAATCGCTGAGAAACTGAGCCATCTATGTTTTATAGATAACAGGCACAAAACCTTAATTACCTTAGATTTATTCCGAGGGCTCGTCATCCTATTCATGAGGAAGCTGAAAGTTCGGCTCACTTTGTACTTTTCAGACTCTGATTTGACAGGTATGATGTATTTATCCCATTCTTCTTCTGGAATTCTACCAAAAAAAGAATCTGTTATCATGATTTGCGGGACTCCAAGAGGGAGCAAAATACCGTATATTCGTATATGTGTACATGTGTGTACACACATATATACATACATTTTAATACACATATTTTACATCTATCTATACATATATTTTTATACACATATATTTACACACATATTTTTCAAGGTTTAATGGTTATTCTAAAGATCAAGGTAGAAACTACTAAAAACATATCTTATAGATGGACAGGTAAATAAAGCAACTGTCTCACAATGTTAACAATTATGAAAACTAAGTGGTAGCCATAGGCATTTAGTACATAATGTTTTCATCTTTTCTGTATACTTTAAAATTGTTCATAGTAAAATATTAGAGAAGTAAAGGAAATCTTAGACTTGTAATTTTACTCTGAAACATTCATCTCCCTATTTATTATGCTAATAGAATTTTCCTCAGGCACAGAGAAGCCAATATGGAATTGGATTTTATTTCTTTTTGGAACATAGAGATAATACTCAGCAGACGCACATTTCCTTTGTCAATATAGCCTGAGAAACAGACTGTCTACCTCTTGGTTTAGTCTCTCCATTCAAAGAGGCTATTTGCAATCTGAGACTCTCTTGGTTGTAAAGGAGAGAAGGGTATGGATACTCGCCCAAAAATAAGAGGCAAGCTAGAGGTAATTTCACCCAGTCTGTGAACATCATTTGTTTTCCTCTAATCCCTATCATTATTCTTTAGAGAAAAACAAGTCCCAGCTATGAAAGCTTATATTTCTCCTGGAACTTTCTCTGATAGTCTTATACTTCTAATATTATTACAGAAAAAGCATACATTAAAGATCAACCTAAATATCATGTCAAAACCAGATAACACTTCAGTAGACTATTTCCAAAATGAATATTTCATAGCCGAAGTCTCTCCTACCCACTCCTCCCCCAACTTCTCATTTGTCAGCGTTAGTGGATAACACATTCATCTCTGGGAAATACTTTTGAAAAACAACCATGTTATTGATATGCACCAAAATATATATGATTACATTTTGTGAAAATGAATTCAAGGACCACTTTCTAAGACTTCAGTTTTTTTCTCATTTGATCAATGACAGGCTTAGACTAAATTGTTTTTAAGGGACCGTCTCACACTTAAATATAATATGTACTTACCTGGTACATATTAAACAAAACTTTATTTAACTCTATACTAGATAATTGAGAGTTTAAACTTAAGAATGCATTTAGAAAAAATAAATGGCTTCAGAGCTGCCTCTTGGTCATGCGGATCTAAGGCATAGTCAGGGCAGCGAGTGACCTGCTTCTTGAATCCTGTACCAACAAGTGAAACTGGGTTTGCTACTTAGAGAAAACAGTCGAAAAAGTCAGACGGAAAGAGGGTGAATAGAAATGAATGTTCCCTACCGAAAGGAACTCAGAGCTTCTTATTTCCTTTACCACCACAGCCACCTCCTTAGAGAACTGACTAGTTAATAGACTCTGTAAATGTCCATACCTCTTGTGTCTTAAGCATCCTAATTTGCTTAACAGGCTTGCTTTGGGAATGGAGAAAAAAATACATTTGACAGCTTATAAAGAATCTTTTCTGGCACACCATTTGTAACCTCACAAAGTGTCATCCAATGTCTAAGAGAACAGTAGTATGGTGAGAAGACCTATACCTCAGAATTAAAGAATGGTAAGGTCAATGAGGATTTTTTCTTTTTTTTAATGATACATAATGTACTTTTATGTATTTATTTATTTATTAATTTTTTATGGTGACATTGGTTAACGAAATCCAATAAGTTTCAGCTGTACCCTTTAACAGTAAATCATATATATATATATATATTTACACTGTGTTCACCTTTCTTTCTGCCACCACATATTTGACCCCCTTTTGAGGTCAAGAAATCCTCTCCCCTACTTCCTAGGAGGAGCACAACTCTTTCAAATAAAGAAAATTAATTTTTGTTTACTCAGCTCTACTCCCAATTCTCCATGCTACAGAAGACTATATCAAGAACAATTTTTCAGTTTTGATTTAAAACTTATACATGCAGCAAAATTTACCATGTATCCTATATACTTTTACAAAATGACATAAAACCGTACCATTTAATCTGTAATCTCAAAGGCTGATAAGACCTGAGACATGACAATATAAATTAAAAAATACTGAAACACTAAGTATTAAAAACTCGGATTAATCATCCAACCTGGTAGAAATGTGAATATCATAGACATGACACACTGTCCTATTATAAGAATGGGTAATGCAACGTAACCTCTGAGCAAATATGGAAGGTTGATTGATAAGTGTAAGCAGCTTAAAACAGAGCAAGGCACATAAAAAACACCCAGCAATGGTCAGCGATGGCTGCTCCTGCTATTTATTATCATCATTGTCATGATGTCATCTTCATCATCATCCTATTCTTAAAAGGCATTCTTAGCCTTCCTCTGGCTTTCTCATTTCAAAATTTCTATTCTGGTCTCAAAAATATATGAATGAATAAAAGGAGGCTTTTCTTAGTGATACTTTTATTCTAAGATTTAAAGCAAAATAGTCCATCTTGATCTATTTATTAAAAGGTTTCAGAGTTTTAGTGTTAATATTTCCCAAATTAAAACCATTTTCCTTTTTCACATGGTCTCTTAAAGCCAAACATTTATGCCTTTTTTGATATTCCTGTCATAACCCGAGGGCTATTTCACACAAGTTGTTAGTTACTCAAGGCCAACAGATCTCAACAATCTTGCCTGCTCACACTAGTCAGTTACCCAAACTTTATTCCAGTGACAGTTTTACCTTCTACAGAAAAAAAGCTTAGGCATAAATCTTTCAAATCTGCATATCAATCATAAAACTGATAATGCTTAAAGAACTTTCTGCATCATTTACTCTGTTTCAAACTTAACACTTCTAAGCAACACTCCATGCAGACAGACGGTAGAACTGTTTAGGCTTTCTATACTTTCTATAACTGATCACCCAGGGGCCTGTTACCATAGTGATGCTTCTTGTCAGGGCAGACCAACCTATCTTGATGCTTTTCAAAACCAGGCAGTCCGCACTCTGCTCTCCTCAGTCCTATATGTTGGAAGTGTTTGGCTTTGACAATACCCCAAAAATAGAATATATTCTGTCTTCAGTCCTAAGGGCTGCACATCTGGGGACTGAAAGGAGCAGCTGGCCAACCTATGCTGATACAAATCACAAAGGAAGCCAAGAATTCAGGCAGGCTCATTACATAGAAACCTCACAAACTATTAAACAAATGTCAAAAATGATACGCACACTTTCCAAAGATGGATCAAAGAGTCACTCAGGAAATTTGCAAAAGTTAAAATACCTTTTTTCTCTTGGGGGCTCCGGTAAGCTGTAAGCTCTTTGTTCTACAAGACACAGAATAATAAAATGAAAACTAAGGCAGACAAACTAGCAGTCATGTGTTAATCTGAAATGTACACACTCAATCGTATTGTTTTCATTATATACACCACCAGTTATGAAAAAATAAGTCACTTTATATAAATAATGCATTGCTCTGGATATCTTCATTACTTTCCCTAGTTTGGAGAGAATGGAGAAGAGGCCATAACATGGCAACGTGTAATGATTTTAAGAACTAAGTTAGCATCAGCAAAGGGCAGCAAACATTTTCAGGAGTGCAGAAAATTAGTTTTATTTTTTTGGATGTTTCTCACCAGAGCTTCATCCCTTATTTGTAACACTAATTCCCAAACATATAGAATCAATAAATATCTCAGCTGCTTTTTAAGCAAAGCCCAAAAGAAAAGACTTGAAGGTCAGCCTAAGGAAGACTCCATTTTAATAAAGCTGCAATGCCTTTATCAAATCCTAGCAGCGGCCAGTCCAGAGATGTGCTTTGTCGCTCATAGGAAAGGGAAAACCACCTTTCCCATTGGACTTGTCGGGGGTAAGGGGCAGGCTCATGCAAGCAGCTTAGCGCCATCTTGTTTTCGGAAGGAACTAGAGTACTTACTACAGGGATGGAGCAGAGACACTGATTTAGACAGTGAGAGAGACTGAAGGATGGAACGGCCACTGTGGAGCACACCATCTACAGAGCAGGGACAAATCCTTTACTGTTACAATCCAGAAGTGCGAAGAGGCAAAATGAAGACGCAAAGGAAAATGGGCCAGATATGTAAGGAGAAAAACTACTAACAGATACCCCCTGAAATGAGTAAATATCAATGTTGAACCTAATATTATCTTATAGGCAAAAGAAAATCTACTTTGAAAAATTTGAAGGCTTTATTTTACTGTTGTTAAATGTTCCGCAAATTAAGTCTTGGGCAAAAATCAGTATCCTTACTGTAAATAGTTTGAGGTGCCAAGAGAATAAGCCACTTGTCCAAAATAATCTAGCTAATAAGATAACAGAACTAAAATCAGGAAACTGGACAATGTTTAATAGTATTCCATCCATCAGTGCACAGATATTCAAAAGTACATTCATTTCATTCCTCAGATTTTTAAATGTAGAACACTTCTGTACATCTTGGGGAGGTAATAATTATCATCTCAATATTTGATAATGTTCCTTTCTATCTAGACTCACAACGTACCAAAGGGAATTATGTATAGGGTTGGACTTTGTTTTATGTATATTAGCATTAAGTAATAAAGGTGCCACCATTGCACTCCTGGTTCAAAAAAAAAGCATAAGACATGATAATAAGTAACCTTTTGGAGAAGACAAGGAAGAGAGAACACAAATAAGAATAAAAAGGACAGAAAGACCATCGTCTCTTTGTTCACCTATGTTACAGCTCATATATGGGAGTTTTCCACTGGGGCAAAAGGAGATTTGGGGTGTATTCAAATTGAGAAAATGCTTAGGACTATTCAAAACTCATAGATAGAAGATTTCTAACACCACAGATGTCAATTTACCTCTGATTAGTTTAAGCAAATTAAACAATGAAACATTAGAATACCTCTTTGAAGTAGTCAAGGTTTCACATCTGTGCTTTGGTCACACACAGTTAAAATTATTCATTCTTAAGAGTTAATTTATTCTTCATAGTCCTACAGTTTTGACTGACCTAAATGGTATCAATCCAAACATTTGCAACCACACAGTAATATCTGTTAAAACCTGTGTACATTTAGTGCGTAGCCTCAACCTAAATTGCTTGTTTGGAATTCTTACCTTCTGGAGAGTATCAAACTTCATTTAAATAGCCCTGGTTTTAAATATAATATCGCAAGATAAGCTTTTGTTCACAGAAAAACCAAAGGAATTACTGTCAGCTTTTGATTCTTTCTCATTCAAATGCAAAGGCTTAAGGATTATATGTTAGGCAAAGATATCCTTCCTGATTCATTAAAGAATTCAAAAGTAAGGGCTCTTTTTCCTTATAGACAAGCAGTTCCTCTCAGTTATCTGTTTCAAACTTCATAACTGTCTGACTTAAAAAAAATCAGAGATGTCTATGGCCACGCTACCCTGAATAAGCCCAATCCCATCTGATCTTGGAAGCTAAGCAGGGTCGGGCCTGGTTAGTACTTGGATGGGAGACCACCTAGGAAGACCAGGTGCTGTAGGCATAAAAATTTTTTTAAAAGAAAGGATTGTAAGCTGACAAGGTTCTTGCAATCTGTGAGGTCAACCAAGGGTTGCCGTGCATAAACAAACAAACAAACAAACAAACAAACAGAGATACTACAGATATAAAGGCAAGGCCACCATTTTGCACACTTCACAGAAGACTTAAAACTATTTTCCCAATAGCTACAGTATAAAGTTAATTTGCTACCTAGGACTATCAGTAAAAAGGTGCCATTAAAAGGAATCTCAACCTAAACTAAGGTTAGGGATACCTGAAGATTCTAGAAATATTCGTGATATTAAAAAAAAATAAAATCCAGGGCAAATTTAATCCATTTTCTTTTCCTGTCTTCTAAAAGGTAATTGTATCCTCTTTCTCTTAGTCCTTTTCTCCATCTTTCCATTCCAAAAATTAGAACTGACATATATCAGTGGTCTTACTTTCTCCTCTCCAAAAAGACTTCGCAAAAAGATAAATGGGAAAAAAAAAAAATGCCTAGTAGCATTTTGTATTTTCTGTATCTTGTCTACTATATTCATTTAATAAATATTTATTGAACACCTCTCGTATATAAGTCGCTGTTTTAAGAAGGCAGCACCAACCACGGAGACTATACTTTCAGTATTGTTCTACATAGCATAAAAATGCAAAATAACAACAATGGAATAAAGCAAGAATTTTAAAAAAGGAAAGAAAAAAGAAAAAGTAGAATAATTCTATTTTGAATATTCTACACTGGGAAAACTATATTTCTTAAGCACATCTCTTGTTTTTTGCATCTTTTAAGAGTCAAGGAGAATAGACAAAAAAAAAAAATTATATAATCATTGATAAAAATTTATTATGTAATTTATTACGTAATGCTATATATTACAGATTAACATGAATATTTCCAAATATGCCTTTAAATGTAATTATTACATAATATATTATATATAGAAAGTATAAAAAATTACATTTAAAAGTAAAGTCGAAAATGGGGTGGTGGCTGAGAGGGGCTACAAGGTCAGCTCTAAGTTGCTCATAATTGTCCTATTTATTGATCTAAATTTACTTTTAAAAATCCATCAAGCTATATGCTTATAATTTATACCCCATTCTATAGGCATACTATATTTTGATTAAAACTTTAATGTATAAAAGTTACATTTCAGATGGCTTGCACTGGCACAAAAATGCTGGGATATATTTACTCATGCTTCAAATATGTTCTCTTATTTTGACTCTCTAAAGTTCTTTCATAAAGAAAGAAAGAAAATCTATTTCGTGGTGGTTTGCCTCCAAAGAGTTAGACTATTTCAGCAACTTATATACAGGGCAAAAGTAAGTTATGCATTTTACTTATATAAAATTCTCTAAAGCCCTCACAATAATGAACTAGAATAAATTCTAGTTTATACTATCCTTGAGGAAAACATTTTATTCAAAGAATAAAGTAACAAAAAGGTGTGTACAAATTTATAATTTCATCAAAATCAAATCTTTAACTTGTCTGATATCCAATGAGTAAAGGATTTTGCTAAGCTTAGAAAAATCAATTGTGAAAATAAAATTGAAAATCCCCACCTGCCGTTCTTGTATATTTTGTGTAATTTTACTAACTGAAAATCTGCTCTGAAATAGAATACTTTCAAAACCAAATGGTAAATAATGCTCACCTTCACTTGAATTGCACACTGTAAAATCACGCACCAACCGAGTTTTTCCTAAAGAGATTTTGGGTGATGAGCAGGAATAAGAACGTGAGCGGACTCCAGAAAGCAATGATTCCTAAAAGAGACCATAATAAAGTTTTTTAAAAATGCCACACAAGACTTGAAAGTATATGTTCACCATAAATGTTACTAAATCAGCATCTTTGTAAAAATATTCAATCTGAACATTTCTAATGTAATCTTATTGTTTCTGTTTGCCTCTCACAATTTTCAAATTTTAAACTTTTAAATTTTATTGTCTTTCAGTGCTTTAGTAAACTTCAGTTTTGGGAACAGTTCTTACATATACTTTAGGATACAAAAATGACATTCCAAACAAGTTGGTTAAAAGTGTAAAATTAAGTCAAATGACTTTTCCTCTAGTATATTTAAAGATGAGTTTGACTTTTTCTCGTCTAAGTTTTCGGTTATTTTTATTTTATAATGTAGCATTTGGGCAAAATTCGATATTAACTAATACCTCCATACTTGATGATGATTAGGAGGTAGAGGAATAGCCACTTACAATGACAAGAGTTTTAAAAACTTACAAACGGCTATTTAAGTTTACAATGTTAGCTGCAGCCTCTAGGGAAGAATCATCAGGTCAATACACAAATCTTCCTAGGCTGTACTCATCTTTTAATAAAACTTCCATCCAGTACTTCCTGGGATTATATTTGAATATCACTGATTTATTATGCATCTTCATTTCTTTTAAATGACCTGTCATTTTTGTTCCTGTTTTCTCGATTACATACAATTTCTGTTGTAATGTTAGCAACATATGTGAAAATGGCAGATGCAAAATAATTAAAACATAGTTTTCTTACTTGTTCTAGAAAATTTAAATGAATATGCAACAGAACACCACTAAAGCCATTTACGGTGCCCAACTCCAATCCAATAATGGCCTCATGGCCTTAGAATTGATCCCATCCACCATTTGTAAGATACCACTTAAAGCTAGGGCTAAAATAAAGTAATTTAAAATTTATTACTAAAATTAAGCCATCAGCAACTGTCCTTCACAAGCACTGGTCTCCCTTCTGTTCTCCCTAAGTGAAAACACATGGTTTCCCTAAATTCATCAGTTTAAAGAGCCTGGAGGAAAGTTGAAAACAGATGCCTAACCCTGCTGCAAACAGTCCTGGGCTGTGGCTACCCTGACTGTCTTTTTAGGGAGGACCCTCTGGGCCTGGATGTCAGAAAGGCCATCCCAAGCCATCCTATAACCCTAACAGTGAGCTGGCCACAAAAGGCCCTCATCAAATGCCACCCTCTGCATTTAAGTCATATATGGTAATCATTTTGCATAATAATGGGACTTGAAAATTATCCAGAAACTCCTGGTAAAAAGTTACACAGGGCAATTAGAGGCAAGGCTAGATATATTTTAAAGGACAGATTCTTCTTAAAAGTGAACAATGTGAAACTGTTTCACAAAGATTGAATTACTTTTCATTCCAAGTAATGATGAGTGCTTCATGATTCCATTCAAAATGCAAAACGAAGAAGGGTCTATATTAACAACCATATCCATTTCTTATTATCCAGAAATATCATATGACCTTCAGGTTCAGAAGATTATGACAGTTCTACTGGCCTCAGAGCTGAGGGGGAAGGAGCGAGGATCTGTGGTCAGAGACCTGGATCTGAGTTCTGACTATCACCGAGCTTGGGTAAACAGGGCAAGACATCGCGCCTCTGCGGAACCTCATCTACTCGAAAATTAAAAGTATCACTTACATCCTAGGCAACTTATGATAGTTATATTTTGTACATACATAAACATGTCTTGTATATTGTAGAGCATACTACAAAAATAAAGCAGTATCATAACATCCATGTGTCACAGTAAGAGCTGTTTGGGCATAGCACACATTATTTTACCTTAGTAAACTCAATTTAAAACGAGACAAGTGGACAATAATACAAATCAAAATGGAAGAAAACATATGTCCGAACACAAAAGGGCTTTCTCTGCAAGATTGGAGGAATTTAATTTTTAAAAAGAAACAACTATAACAAAGTGAAACCCCAATGAGAAAGTGCCAATGAGAAAAATTCTGTCTCCTGTGGAAAACTAATAAAGTTTATGGTGTTCCAGATTAGTGCATGCGGCCAGGAATACTCAACATCACCTCTGTCTTAGTAATATCTTACCTCATCACTTGGGCCAAGAAAAGTTTTATGTGAGCAAAATAAGTTTGATCACTTAAATCCACTTAATACTACCAGTTTTCTCCCTTTGCTTAAGAGATGATGGTAGAAATTACTGTGTAAAATAAAAAAATTTTCCAAGTCTATGAAAAATTACATGTGAATTAATGAAAACAAATCAGCTCTTGTAAATAAGGAGTATACAAATTAAAATGAGAAAAATTAAAACGAATCAGGTAGCTCATGGGTCTCAAAAAAATTATGCATGTGAATAAAACGTTTTTCAGAAATGAATTAGATTTAGACAACACATTTTCTAAGCTTAGAATAACCCAAATGAATACCAACAAGAATACCTTTGACTGCGGGTTACTTGATAAAGAAAGTGACTCAGTCCTGGAGATGTTAAAATCTGGTTCAGTGTTGGTCTCAAAAGAGTCCAATTCGTCCCCACTAGGAATCCCAGATCTTGAGGAACTCTGAGACACTGGCGTGTGACAAGCGTGGGGCTGCTCTGAAGGCCCTTCGCCTTCACTGTCGGCATCCAAGACATCGAGACTAGAACTAAAGCACAAAATGAACAAGTAAATGATCGAGAAAGCAGAGTCATTGTTTCTATTTCTCTGAATTCAAATTATGTTATTGGTGTGAGGTACAATGGGTCCTCATTTAATTGCTAACCAAATTTATATTTAAGAAGTTTTTGTTGTTTTTTCCTCTCAAATATTCTGTTTTTCAACGAAATTCTGTTTCCCCAAGTAAAAATTTCTTCTTTGCAAAAACCACTTCAAGTGCTCTAAGAAACAAAAGCTGGTTCCAGTTAGTGTTATCCTATTGCTGTTTTGTAAATGTAATTATTACAAGCCCTAAATAGTTACCCTTAAAATATTAAAAATATAGACAAAATAGAGTCACTGGGCTGTTGGGGAAAGGGGTGTTCTGGGAGGATCTGCAGTGAAAATATGCAGTGTAGCATTATCTGTATTGTCCCTGGGCTGGAAAGCTCAGGAGGGCAGAGGCACAGGGAAAGAATGATGAGCAGAGGTTTCACCCCAGAGTTGTTGTAAACTCATAGGTCAGACACAAGCCCAGCGAGTGTCAAGTCATAGGTCAGACATGAATCAAGTTAGGTCCCAAATTTGTCATATTAGATTATCATAGGTAGAAATTTTTTAAAAAATTATTCCCATGAAAAATCTACCTCAGAAACAGGTAGTACTTATGCTCATCTACTAATGCTTTTCTTTCCTCCTTTATCTTTGATAACCATGAAACTGAAAGGAAAGAATTTGACCTTCCACATTCCTGGCTGGTTCCATAACATTTACATTTTAAACCACTCAAACTTTGAGGCCAACAGCTTTCACAGCCATGCTAATTGCATGGTGCATTTTTTTTTTTAATTAAATGTATTTGGGGTCTCTGTCACTTTCTTTCTCTCAGTGTTCTTTACTCTGTCTGTCTCACTGTCCCTCTCACTGTCCCTCTCACTCTCTGCCTCTGAGAGGAGACCACATTCCGTCTGTGGAGTGTTACCCCTTTTCTAATTAACTTTCCTTTCGTCTCTAAAAAAAGATAAATTTATCTGGATACCATTGGTTAATAACATTACATAAATTTCAGGTGTACAATTTATAATACGACATCTGCTTACCACCCAAAGTCTAGTCTCCTTCTGTCACCATATTTTTGACCCCCTTTACCCTCTTCATCCTCTCCCCTACACCCCTTCCCCTCTGGTACCCACCATGTTGTTGTCCTTTTATAAAACAAAAAACAACAAACAAACAAAAGGAACAGTGTATTTTTTTAAAGTTTTTTTTTTTTTTTTTTTTGGTTGTTACAGTTCTGGGATTAAATTTTTAATAACAATATAATGAAACCATCTTGATTACAAAACTCTGAAAAACCTGCTTGGGTTATTTTTCTTTAAAAAAAAAAAATAGGCTATTTAAAAGCCACCGAATATCAATGTAATAAATTACATGACATTTGGTACTACATACGTCTCTAATCCAAACACTAAGATTAGTCGCTAGCCCTCCTTGGTACCAGCGAACCCAGCAGTAAGTGAAGGCCACGGCTGGCACCACTGAAGTTCCCAAAGCGGGGTGTTTTCCTTGAAGACTCACTGAGAGCCTTCACTTTGGCATTGAGAAGGAAAGGAAAAATTGGAGGTGGACTTCACACTTTAGTTTAATTTTACACCCAAATCTGTTGGAGTACATAAAATTATCTCATGAAAAACTAAAGCTTAGTGTTAAGAAAACCCTTCTAGTAAATGTTGGTACTTTGAACATTATAGCAATGTAGTTACAGATATTTTAAGGTGCTAATTCAATGATTAAAGTCCTTGATTCAATGATTATCTGGAGGTAGAAGCAATCTAGGGGTGGGATAGTTGGTCAAAGGTTTGTGGAAGTCCTGTGCCTCTGCATTTGTCTTTCAACTTGTGATCTCTCTACTAATGAAAATTAGTTCAAAAATTAGTTCAAATGGTTGGTTGCCTGTAACAATATCCTATTTTAACACAAGCCTGTCCAGTTATATACAGCATTTCTCCACTATGAATACACCCTGGAAGTATCAATGAGTATTATTTTATTTTGCATATTATACTTTAAAACATTTCTTTTTCTAATTCAAAATTGGGCTGTGGTTTTTCTTTGTTACGCTATTAACTTAAGATATTCAATGTTATAGACAATATTCTTTAGGTTTACCTCTAGGTTCATTTTACAATACCATGTTCTAAAATCCCATTAGTGGGACAGAAAATCAATTCAGTAGGTTATGACCAGACTTTTCTTTTAAAACAGTATAGAGCAGAAAATGTCAGAATAAAGTCCACATGTTATTTCATAAAACACTTAAATTTTATGTGTATGGTCAGGAGAGGGGATGGTTCACGATGTGACAAGCATTTCTTACTATGGAAAAATAAACAAACAAAAAACGGTTTTAAAGATGTAATTTAGAACAGAACATCTGTCTTCTATCACCGAATTTTTTGTTGTATAGTTTTTTAAAATAAATGTTGCATTGCTTATTTTCCCCTTGTAGCTTCTTAGAATAGTTATTAAGTTTAGATAGTATAATAGTTACTTACTGTGCATACTATTTTACTTTCACCAAAATATTGTTTTAAACCTTAGAAAACTTAGGACTTAGGTCCCAGTCAGCCTTGCTCCCGTGTTAATTCAGGTTTTATTGTGTGCCCTGAAATTGATTCTTCATTAGAACTTCTAGTCTCTCAGCCTATTAATTCACTTATTAATGAACTCGGCGCATTTCACTTTGAGTTCATTATATCTTGTGTCACACACTCCCACCACAAAACCCTCTGAAGGGAGGGTCCCACGGCCATTCAGGGTCAAAGTGGGACTTTCTGGGGATCACACATTCTTTCTCCTAATTTCTACATTTTTCAGAGGGGACAGAATTTATAGGAGATAAAGTTGGCCCGCGGAACCAGTTGGAGTTTTTCTCTTAGGATATCTTCCTCTCCTTGTCCAACCCCTCAACCAGCTGTGACATTTTTCCAGAGGCTTTTAATTACCTTTACTCAAACTGGATAGTTTTTCTTATATTCTAAAATAGCTGCAGCAGTAAGATGTTTCAACGTCCCAGAGCAAGACCATGATTGATCAGAAAGCATAATTTAGAGTGCCTGAGAATGTTTGTATAAGCAAAGCACAGAGCCCATTTGTGTCTTTTCCTCCTTCTGTTCCTACAGTAGTTCTTGTAAAGCTGTAGTCCCCAACCTTTTTGGCACCAAAGACCGGTGCTCCTATGAGAATCTAATGCCAGATGATCTGGGGTGGAGCTGAGGTGGTGATGCTAGTGCTGGGGAGCAGCTGCAAATACAGATGAAGCTTTTCTTGCTCACCTGCCGCTCACCTCCTGCTGTGCGGCCCGGTTCCTAACAGGCCATGGCCCAGTACCAGTCTGCAGCCCAGGAGTCAGCGACCCCTGCTGTAAAAAAACTTATTCACTTCTTCAGACCTGGGTCACAAACTGGACAGACCACAAAGATCCTACCAGAATGTACTAATAACACACAGCTAAATCATTTTTGCAGAACTGTGTAGACTCTCGCCTTGACTGGGAGCCTCTTTTCCCAAGCAGGTAATGTGGAGAGTCCAAAGTGCCCCATCAATTCTATTTATGACCACTCAGTATCTTTAGACCATGACCACTCAGTATCTTTAGACCCATAATTCACAAAATACAAATATAAAGAAAATCTTTCATTATTTATGTATCATAAATACCCTTGGTACCAATACCTGTTATAAAGTGTTACAACCTCAAGTGGTTGTATATCAGTACAAAGTACACCACAGTACCTGGCACCTAGAGATTGCTGCTTTCCCTCCCTTTCTCCCCTTTCTGATCAACTAAATCTCTGCCAAATACTCATTCACCTATGTGGATGTTCATTCCTAGATAATTATACATACTCACATATATGTGTGTTCTACATTCATTTTGATTCATGATTTTATGTGTGAAAATGAGCATATAATCAGAGGTCTAGGGCATGGGGGAAAAATAAGCTATTACCTAAGCAAAGTGAACAGCAGAATAAAATGAAATTAGTGGCAATTGGCGTATTTCCTAAAGAAAATAGACGACAGGCTGGGTGGATAAGAAAAAGATACAAAGATACAAACACACATACATGCATGTACACACATAAATATATACTGTCATATCATATACAATAAAACTATTATTTTAATAATATTCTTGTATATATAAGAAAATATATGCAAGGTAAGTTACAGAGCATAAAAATGGAACGAACACCCATGATCCCACCCAACTTGAAATGTGAACATTGGCTATACTATTGAAACCCTTTTTTATTCCTTTCCATTCCCATCCCCTACATTTCCCACTAGATGTAACGCCTATCTTGAATTTGGGATTTTTTTTCTTCATTGCCTTGGGGTTTTGTTTTATAGCTTAAACAGACATGTAGCTGCCCTATAATAATAAATTGTTTGATTGTGTTTAATTTTGCACTTTATAAAAATGAAACCTAACTAAATATTTTGCATCTTACTTTTTTGTTCAACTGCATGTTTTTGTGATGCATATTATGTATATGTAGTTAGTTCATTTTCACTACTGTATAGTATTCTGTTGTATAACTGTATTGTAATTTATCTATCCATTCCCCATTTTGGTTATTTGCTGCACTATCAATATTCATGTGTATGTCTCCTGGGTCATACTTCTGGGTCATAAAATGCATATCAAAAAGTTATATAATTTTCATGCCTATCAACTATAATAGTAGTTTCCATTGTATGCATTTTCACCAAAACATGGTATTGCTAAACTTTTTCATTTTTGCCTATGTAGTGAATGTAAAGCATGTTGTCAGTTTTCCTAACTGTCTTACTTTCAAATCAAGGACTATAGAAACCTAAAAGGGGGCAGGTTTTGATGTAGAGATAGAAGTGGTAAAGACAATAGAAAATAGAATTTTCTAAGTTCAGCTACAAGGTTGTCTGATTTTCTACATTGTTCCTCTAGAATAGAATACCTTACCTTCTATCCTTTAGGTGACTTTGCTCCTTTTCAAGTCCACGAAGACCAAGGGAAAGATTCAAATTGGAAGCACATGAACTAGGTGGTGATGCGAAGGACTGCTGGGCTTCAGCATTTGATGTCGCTTCCTTGTTCTCGCTTAGTGGGTACATGCCAGGGCTGGTGTCGGTAGGAAGGATGTACTTGCAGCTCTGAGGTCCCAGAGTGGAACCTATGGATTCGTGGCAGGTGTTCGTAGTGATTCCCTCTATATTTATATAGCTAATATCCAAATCACCAACCTGGTGGTCAGAAAAAAAATATTTGCTGAGCAAACGTAAGACAGATTGGCTTAGCTAAGAATAAAATTTTCTCAATTTAAAAATCTTCTACTTTGTCTTTTTTGTTTTGTTTGTTCTTATTTTTGTTTTGTTTTATGTAAGCAGAGAATTCTTTCATGGTATGCTTTTGTTCATTTGGCTGCTATCCCGTAATTCACGAAATGAAGAACAATTGAGTGTTTTAAACATTTTATGAACCTCTGACTCAAAATGAGGAGGAAAAAAACTAAAAAGTAGACAGCTTTATTTAAAAGACAGCTTTATTTATAGGAGTCTGGATAATCAAGATAGTGACAGTCACATAAATTTGAGTGCCCCAAAAAACACTACCAAAAAAAGTAGGAATAAAACTACATAAGATGCATGGACTTAGCATAACTAGAAGACAGAAAATGCCCCCAACTTCAAATTACCTGTAAATAAATAAAATAAACACCAAATCTCAGCAAGTAACCTATCATATTCCTGCCATAAGTCTTTGCAGAGAGTAATGGCAGTCTGGAAAATTCTGCATGGCAGAGAGAAAAGGGGGTTAGTGGAGAGCCTAAGACTGATCTAAAAATCATCACAAGAAAAAGTCCAGCCTACATGTGTGAAAAGGGTCCCGGCTGATCAAAGTGCTTGCTTTGGGGCTTAAAAGTACAGGTGATCTGATCTGGTGGTCATCTAGACATCACTTCTGGGGGAGAAGATGGTGAAAAGAAAGAGAATGACACCATTTACATATAGGATGGTAAAGGAGAAATGAAGCCAAAGGGGAAAATTTAGGGTCCTAAATCAACTATCATAAGAATTTACTAAGGCAAAAACAATCAAGGAATACTCAAACCGTGGGTGTAAATCAAATGAGTAACAGGATATTGACAATGACTCAAACTATCTCCCACAACATACTTAATTTTTTAATAGTAATTTTACTGGGGAAAAAAAAAAAAAAAACTTGGTAGATCAAAGATACCATCACCAGTAATGGCACAAATTAATGTCATGTGCCTCTTGATACCGTGCACTGAGAGTACAACATCACTTCTGTGATATTCCTGCCAACCACACTAACGTGAGTCTAATCATGAGGAAATGACAAGCAAACCTAAACTGAAGGACATGCTTACAACAACAGAAAACCTAGTGTGTACCCTCCAAAGTTATCAATCTCATAAAAGACAAAGACTAAGGAACTGTCCCCAGATTAAAGGAGACTAAAGAGACATCACAACTAAATGCAACATGTGTAATTGAATTTTCTTTTGCTACAAAGAACTTTATTGAGACAATTGGCTAAAATTGTATAAAGTCTGTAGACAGGTAATAATACTATATCAATGACAATTTCCCGATTTTGTAACTAAATGTGCCTGTGTTAGAGGACGATCATGTTTTTAGGAAAATACATCATGAAAGGTTGAGGGGTAGAAGGGCACCATATTTTTAATTTACTCTCAAATAGTTAAAAAAATATATTTATACACATATTTTAAGCATTCACATTCACACACACATAAACATATACTCAGAGAATATTAAAGTAAAATATTAACATTCGGGGAGTTTTGATGAAGCGTGTAACAGGGATTCTTTGTACTGAATTATGTAGGTTTGAAAAGATGTCCAAAAACAATGCTGCTGCTGTTGTTTTCTCAAAGTAGTGTATATGACAGAGTAATTTCCAAAGTAGTTTTATTGTGTGACTTTCCTCACCATCTCATAACCTTGAGAAATCATGAGAAAGAGCATCACAAACAAGCAAGCAATCTTTTAAGGTTTCTATGCTAGGTTGAAAGAGATGAAGGAAATTATATAAGATTCTTTCCAGATATTGCTAGAAATTATTTTAAATATACAGAATTTGGACTCCTTATGTTGTTCTTACTATTCAAATGGACCTAGGGACAATAAAAGAAATGATAGAATACCTATACTACACCAATATAGTGAACTTTGTGACTTGATTCCAGGTTTTTAGTTTTATTTCTGTTTTTATTACACGTATTCAGGAATTCTCTGCTATATTTCAGTTTATCAATTAGCCTGTTTAAGTTTTCCTTAAATGTAGGCTTCACATTATTAAAGCAATACTTTTCTCACTGAAAATGTTTTCAAATAGAAATTATATCCTAACTTTATCTTTAGTTTGTGAAATTTTGTATTTTTAACGTATCTTAGAACATATAAAGACAAAATTTTCCCTCTCATAATACTGAGTCATGTACAATTTTAGCTATTTGAGGTAAATGAAAATATTATAGTATTCACTGAGGCTCAGAACTAAAAGGACCAGAACTCAAGAAGTATTTCATTTAAGTGCTGAGAAAATATGGCAACAGAATAAAACCATTAAAATCAGAATGTGCTAGAGCATATCAAGTCCAATTTCCCTGTATTTTCAAAGAAGGTCCCCAGAACTCTCACTTTGTCCTGAACTCTGTGCCTCATCCTAGACTTCATAACTAGGGCTCACATTCAGCTGCTTTATACCAAAAACTATACCAATTATTTATTGCCTACTGTCCATTCTGATTTATTGGTTCCTCTGTCATTTTGGAAGGCAGCTATGCTAACCACTATACCACCAATGCTTCGGTCCTCTGTCATTTTGAACATCATCCCAACCTATGCATTTATACTATGCATCTGATATAACAATGTTTTATAACACAAAAAGAAAAGGCAGAGATTCGACTGAAGGGCTAAAATTGAGATCTACTAGACAGAAAAAAGTTTATACCGCAGAAACCATCTGTAAGTAATAGGGTATAATATATGCATACTAACAACAACAAAAAAGGATAAAATGCCTTATTGCTCTATGAGTATATATATGGTGCATTTATACGGAGACTAGCTTTTTTAAAGTCAGTGGATAAGACAGAAATTGTGTGTTGTCAGAATTACCCTTGAAAATCCCTTAAATCTCCCATAAATTAGGACACACAGAAATCTTCAGATCTATAACTATAGTTTAATATTTATAAATATTAAAAGTTAGGGTCACTGAGCTAGAGGAAAGAAGCAAAGATAGGATAAATCTATATGTAGATGTACATTCAAATCACTGACCTTTAGAAGATTTAACTCACAAATCTCTATCAGGCAATGGGAAGGGAATTCTAAAGGGTTCCAGCTTCCCTGTAACATGACACCATTCTATTTTAATATTAAAGCTCTACAACCTTATTACATGTCACCAGGTATGTTGTAAAGATTAAATAAGTAATTTATGTGACAGCATCATATGGAGCTGGCATCAAGCTCTTGCTCATCCAGCTCTTGCCGGATTTGAATACAAATACTACTAAATCAGATCATATACACATTGTTTTTTGAAAGCTATAGAGAAAAAATTTGCCTCTCAACTGTCATTTCCTATTTTGGCAGCATTGGAGAGCTCACGCTCTTCTCATTTGGCAGTGTCATAAGACTTTGCCCTTACGGTGCGCCTTGGTAGGGTAAGGTGTGCTATGTTCTGAAGGAAGGACCTCAGTTAAATGCTTCTATGATGAGACTCCACTGAAGCGTCACTGGAGTTGCACTTAGGCTAAAATTTTCAGAGGACCACAATAATGCTTAATTTATTTCTCACATTCTCGGGGTTGGGAAGAGGGCAGATTTACCTTGTGACATCAGTCACACCTTACCTGATCTATCACCATGCAGTTAGCATAGACTTCATCACCACCGTTCAGCATATCGGAAAGCCGGCCTGCAGCATGGAATGTAGGGGGATACTTGGATTTTTTTTGGACATCAAAGGAGCGATCTGGAGGAAAAATGAAAACAGGATGAATAAAGTAGAAGGAATTTATTCTACAGTCGACCTTTACCTTCTTAATCAAACCATAAGAAAAAAAAAATTAAGATTTCATTTTTTTAAGATGACATTTTGCTTTTTTCACTTAAGATCTACATGCATGTATTTTATACATCCAAACCTCCTCAGTTATCTAAAACCTTCATAAAGAATAACTCATTCTAAATAAGTTGTGCCCATTTCAAACACTATTTTTCGAATCCTGACAGATTTTTGTAAAATCAATTAGATTTCTCCTTTCAATTTCTAACAGACTACACTAAAATTCATTTATGAAACATTTCACTTGGACGTATCAGTGATTGTGCTGTGATCTTCAAGTCCCATTGACATGTTTAGGCTCCAGACCCTCTACTAAAGGACCTGAGATAGTACACGGTCTCGCAGTTCTGGCTCTGTTGTGCCTGC